CCATCCATCCACCTATCCATCCATCCGTACATCCACCCATCCATCCACCCCTCCATCCATCCATCCATCCATCCATCCATCCATCCATCCATCCATCCATCCATCCATCCATCCATCCATCCATCCATCCCTTCCCTCATTAGAAAAAGTCTGTCATTGCAAACAAGTAAAATAAGTCAATGCTGCCAGAGAGAAGAACTTACAAAAACTGATTTACCTGAGTACCAAGGCAGCCCACCATCATGTGAGTGAGTAATTTGGCAGCAAACATGGGTGAACGGGAGCACACGACATGGGATATGATGGCCAATGCAAACCCTGAAGAAGAAATAACAAGCCATGGAATCAATGTTAATATTAAATGAAAAAGATTTGTTGAAACTGCTGAGTTTTTACTAGTACAGAACATAAAATGTGGAACATTTGATTCAATTAATTTTTCAGAAAATTGACAACCAATGCAAGTGATTTGAGGGCAAACGGAACAAGCACAAGAAATTTAAAAATTACAGTAAATGGGAGAAAAAAAACCCACACAAGAAGTGTTTTTGTACCTGAGATACAAATAAATCCTGCAGTGTAGAAGGCCTCGTTGTAGGACGCACGCAAGGCGAACTCTGCATGGGCTGCATAGACAGACAAGTGGGAGCATGCACACTCCACATAAGTCCCACTTTCCTTCACAACCCTGCAGTACTGACCATCTGATGACCAGCTAGAGAAAAATAGTAGACAAACAGGGTAAGACGATTAAAGACAAAACAAAAAGTCTGAATAAAAGTTGGGACTTAAGAGCAAGAGAAGCAAATGAGTTAAGTCAAAGGAGTTTCTGGAGTTTTGGGTTCTTTAAGGTTTTAGCCACCTTGGACTATTTTTTTCAAGGATGCTGCATGACTGAGAATTGTCCAAATACAAACCCTCTTTCACTGAGAGTTCTTATCTTAACAATAATAAAGATATAAAAATGTGCACTTTCACATGGAAGAAAGCTGGGTGGCATCAACACAGTCTTTTTCCTATGTGTGTCAAACTTACTGGAATAATTAACAGACCTCAACTTTTGTTTACTCCACTTCAATGTCACTTTTAGAATCAGTTTTTTTCCCCTCTTAGGTTTTTCTCCTTTATCTGAATAGCTGCACTGGCCAAAACAAACCTGCCAATTTTTAACTTGTGACAGCATGTTCCAGCCAAACCTTATTCCACGTATCAGAAATGTCCTCAACAAACAGACAAGTCGGAGGGCAGCGGTCTGAATGTGCAGACAGAAAAACATAAAGGAATGAAAACTCTCATGGCTGCAGAGAGGCCTTACTGACAGGCTGAACTTGGACATTTGCCCTTCAAGCGTGAGGATGACAAATACAACTTAGCAAAGTTTATAGACACAACTTGTGAATAATGGTACAGTGATGGAAGGATGTCACTACTAATTTTAATGGACACACTAGTATTAAAAAAACAAGGCAGTGGCACAAGCTGCAAATATAAGGAGAAAAAAAAAACATTTATTTTCTGTGTGCAAGAGAATATTTTTAAAATTTGAAGGCAGAGTTAAATCTAAAGCTCTAAGACCTCATGTTTCAAAAACAGGTAAGAGACTTTTGGATTTGCAGAGGGAAAATATTTTGCACTCCAAGCCTCAGCCACAACTTCAGTTTTCATCAGCACTTATAAAGTTTGGTTAACTTCATAAAATTAGTTTATAATGCAAAACCAGCACTTGGTTATATGTTCTTTTTTATTCTTACTAGGAAATCCAATGTCATTGTCAATATCATTGGCATTCTCATGGGTCGTTTCGCAGAAAAGCTCTTCTGAGGATCAGGGGCCAGTTTAATGCTTTACTCAGGAGACAGTTCCTAAAAGATGGATCAGTACAGGTAGCTGAGTGTGGATCTGCTGACAGTGGAGATGCAAAAACCTGAGGGTGACACTGTTACACGTTTTTCTGTTTTCTAAGTGATAGTTTGAGCTCAGTTTGCAGTTAGTTTTCATGTGAACTCTCAGTCTCCTTAAAATGACATAAACATGATTTAAAGTTTATTTAATATATTCTGTGTCTATATATTATCTTGAAATACATGTCTTATAGAAAACAAGGAAAATGGAGTTGCATCTCTTAGTATATCCCAAAATAATCAAAGAGGCCTGAAGTACAATCATTTTGTTGACTTGTCACTAAAACATCTCAAAGACTTTAAAAAAAAACTTATAAAACTGTATTAACTAGTTGAAAAAACGACTTATATGTCAGAATCCAAATCTGTTTAAAGGTGTTTTTGTGTATTAACCTTGCAGTGGTCTGATTCCACAAAAGGCACACAGTCTCTCCTGGTTTAACTTGCTGACCAGCAGAGTGGATACGATATGTCACCTCTTTGCCATCTTCCAGCGGTCGTGAACCTCTCTCCTTGAGGCTGACTGAGAAAACCTACAAACAGAAGCAGCAGCATTGAAGTCAGTAACATATGAATGCTTTTTATGCAAGAGCAATACTGCCACCTGCTGTTTAAATAGGCTCCTTTCTCTAATAGTGTCACTCCAGATGTGACCACACCATGACAGAGGTTCCCTACCTTCCCACTGACAGCTGTGTTCGTATCATTGGTGAGAAACCAGTGTTCAGTTCTGAACTCAGTCTGCTGGATCCTGCTGAGGTTCCTACAGTCTGGCGTTAGGGCTGCTGGCACCGGCAGCAGTGTGTCTGGAAGCTGGAAGAAGTCTGCGTTCTGTCCTCTGAACCTATGTCCATTTATTTGTGTGGGGTACCATTGGAAGGCAGAGATGGTCATAAATGGACAGGTTTCCAGAACAACACCCATTCTGGTAAAATTACACAAAGAAAATATAGTGTTTAACTGCAAAACACAAGCATTGTAAATGTATTTTGAATGATTTGAAACGCTGACACTTACATCTCACATTGTCTGTGTGCGAGGAGGGAGAACGCATATCGCTCGGTGACCTCAGCAAGGTAGCTGAGGCCTCGAGTGTCGACCCGACTGGGATCGGACAAAGCACATAACAGGTCGAGGGTCAAATTCCGGCTGCTCTCATGCAAAGGAGCCTGCTCTGCCTCTGTGAGCACCTGTCTCAGGAAAAAAGTAGAAAATAACAGAAAAATATCACATATTTGTCACAGATGTGCCATCATATATCGTATTCTTGTCGTTTTTTATTAAAGTTAAACCTTCAAGCAGCTTCTCTGATTTTTATTGTACATTAAATACTACTGTCTGCTTTGACTTATTTTTATATTCACACTCTTCTTTCATGGCATACAATCTGTTCCCAGCCAACCTAAAATCTCAGCTATTCATTTCTTCTCGACACGTTACATTTCCGTGGTGTCTCCTCTTGTCTGGAGAATAAGTCGGCACTGACAGGTGCTCATGTTGAGTGACAACTAACACTTTTCACTTGACACACTTCCTCTTTGTCAGTGTAGTTTACAAGATATGCCCTTTGGCATAGCTAAACTACTACGTTGACATGTGAGTTTTAAATGCTACACTCTTACAAAATAAATAAAATACAATATTTTTGCTCTAAGATTAGTGAAATGGTAAAATAAACATTTTTTTGTCACGTAAATCCAAAACTTTCAGAAGAAAATTCATGTTCTTGGGGTGTCTGTCTTGTCTAGTGTTCATTTAGTTTTTCTGATTCTTGTATTTTGTTCGTGCTCAGCTTCTCCAGTGTTTTTCCTCCCACTCTCACCTGATCCTCACTGTCCTTCAGGAGTTTGTCATTATCTGTCAATTAGTGCTCTTTAAATACTGCATCATTTGGTTTGTCGTGCGTTGCGCCTTACACGCCAGTCGTGTTTGTTTTCCCTCTTGAGCCAGTGTTTTCATTATTAGATATTTCCACCTTCCAAGACATTTATGTTTTTCTGTCTTCCAAAGTTTTTTTTTTGTTTGTTTTTTGTGCACGTTTTTGCCTTTTGGTTTGCTTTTTGTTAACAAATTAGTTTCATTATTTTACCTTTTGAATTCTGAGTTTTAGTTTTGCATTTGTGTTCTGTTTTTCCTCCTCAGCGGGGAAGAAACTACAACAAATAGCCAAATTTGATCATACAATAAATGACATTTAGTCTCAGACCTAAACGTTATTGTGAAAAGAAGGCAGTTTTTATTTATTATTGGTTGTTGAAGACATTTTATTTCTTAATAATCTTACCTTCCCCAGACCTTCTAGCACAGCTATCATCTGCTCTTGAGGGAGGGGTAAGGCCAATTTACCCTTAATTCCTTGCAGCACTGGGTTCAGCACAGTTTGGTCAAGAGGCTGGTGGAGTTGGTCCAGTAAGCCCCACACAGACTCACTGGCTGCATTAGACACCAGAGTCACATTGGCCAGTCCAAACTGGGAGTGGATGCTGGCTCCTCCTGTGGGATTGAAGAGCTCCACCTGGAAGCGCTTCGGTGTGGTTGAAGGCGATCTGAGGTCAGGCATCAGGTTAATGTCTATGGATGTGATCTGGCTCCCCACTGCAAACGTTACTCGACCCTCCTGTTGAGGAAAGTCCTTCCCAGCTTTAGCGGGCCAGATCACGTACGGACCCACACTCTCTTCTTTGGTGAGCTCCTAAAAAGAAGATGAATAACGTTTTAAGTCTTTTTAATATCATAATCTGAAAATGGTTAAACAGATTCCCTAAAGCACAGGTTTTATGATTTTAATGATGTCGTCCATGTTGAGTAAGGCTGGCTGATGCTGCGTTTTTATGAACGCTTCAAGTTCTGAGCTTTCATTCCACAGCAGACCTTTTGTTTAGGAACATCTATGGAGAGATGAAAGTGCACAGGTGTGCGTCTTTGGTTCTGATTTTTGTTGAGTGCGCAAGACACGCTCACTTTCATCTTCTGTATCAGAGAAAGAGTCACTGTGTAGACATCACAAGCTATCACCTCTCAGAGGAACAGAACATCACAGAGCCATCATGGAGGCGGAGAGAGGAGAGGACTGCCATCTTGAATTTCACAAGTGTAGATAAATCAACACTTTATTAATCAACACAGAGAAATAAGATATAAAATAAGTTCATGCTGTGCTGCTATTGTCTTAAATATTAATATATATGCCGATGGTTTTTTAAGTATTCCCACCACCATATAATAAACTAACACCCGTTATTAGTATTAAGATTGCAATGTTAAATAAAAAAATCTTCAGGTTAAATTTGGTTGGAAACATCAGTCATGACTAAAAATGAGAAGTCGTGATTTCCAGGTGAGAGTAAAATGTCACTTCTAATGGCTGGTGCACCAAAGTAGTTCCTGTTATTTTTATACACAAACATCCATAATGGATAAATAAAACTCAAACTATGACTCCAAGACGATCGTGCCTGTTTTTTAAATGTATTTTATGTGTACTTGTGCAGTGTCCATGTCTTACCACTGTGCGATATTGTATGGTCATGGCTAAAGCTGTGCTCCCTTGTCTGTAGAGCTGCAGGCTGAGCCTCGTGGACATCAGAGTAGCGACAGCCAGTCTGTGACCCACAGCGAAGAGCACGGTGCCTTCTGGTTTGTCGCTCTCTGCCAAGGTGACGTTGGCAAAACGAGTGCTCTCATTGATGGAAGCTCCAGCACCTACTTGGTAAATCTCCACCAGGAACCACGCCTGGTACTCTGGTTCCTAAAGCAAAGCAGATTTTTTTTACTTTTATATTTGTCCACTGCAAAATTGCTCAAGAATAAACATGCAGTAAAAACTTTATTTTGCCAATTTTATCACAGATTTGAATTAACACATTTCAGAGTTCAGAGCAATACAAGTCTGCAGTGATGCTTTTGCTGAGGTCTTTGTCACCCTCTTACTTTATCATCCAGGACCTCCAGAGAGAGGGCACACGTGATCTCTCCTCTCCTACAGACTGCTGTTCCTGATGTCTGCACAAGCTGCGCCGTCAGGTTGACTCCGTTACTGACGAGGCTTAACGAGTCTTTGCTGAATGTAGCTCTCCAGAAGACGTGCAAATCCTCAAAGGCTCTGAGCAGTTGGACAAAAGTTACCACGCGTAAATACAAATTATAAACCAAAATCAGGGTGGCAGCCGATAATTCACCCATTTATGGGCAACACATTTTAGCAACCCTACATTATCAACTTTAAACAAGAATAAGTGCAACTTTACCTGTTTTCCTGCCTCTGTAGGTAAAGCAGAGCAGTTCTGTTTGCTGAATCCTCCTCCAGAACCTGGCCCATTAGGGAGTTCAAAGTAAACCCTATAATGCCATTTTGGAAGTCGCTCCCTGGTATGAACAAAAAGAAGTAAACTGGTTAAAAGAGAGCAGTGGGCATTAAAATGATTAATTTATAGCCATTTGGATTATATATTCTGTATTAGCTCAATCTGCACTGCAGTATTTTTAGAGGAGGCACTGTCATGTTTACAACTGCAGCTGCACTGGTGTACAGCAGCTGACATGCAAATCTGGGGCGTTGGTGAAATCAGAGACAAACATTAAACTTTTTCTATGGTGAGCAGGACATTTTGAAAGTGCAAACAAGAAAAAGAGAGTTCAGAACACAGTCTATTACAGATGACTCATAGTACAGTATATTACAGTATTTGTATTATATACAATAGTACATACATATGTACACGTATGGTATTATATACTACAGTGTATTACTCATCATTTGGGTAATGCTTACTTAGAAGTGCTGGCTTCTTTAAATTGCTGAATTAAATATTATACATAAAATGTACTTTTAAAATGTGCTAAACTATCTAAAAACTTGCTTTCACTTTTCAAGGATCAAGATTCTTTATTTGTCATACACACCACATGTGGTACATGGGGTGGAACAAAATTGTCTACACAGGATCCCAGTTCCATCCAAAAATAAAATGTAAAAGAAAAACAGTAATAAGATCTAAGATATGAACTAAGAAAAACATTAAACTAAAAATACACTAAGAACTAGTAGTATAAAAACAACACGCCGAACAGCAGCACGAACATGAGTCTGTGTGAGCAGCTGAGTACGAATAAACAGCAGCGTGAAATAAATCAGCAGCATGATGTGGTTTTTCACAGTGATTATTCTGGTTAGATATTCATGAGTCTAACAGCTTCCGGGTAGAAGCTGTTCCTCAGTCTAGTGGTTCTACACTTAATGTTCCTCAACCTCCTTCTTGAGGGGAGTGGGGCAAAAGTGTGTGTGCTGGATGAGTGGGGTCCTTCATGATGCAGGTGGCCCTCTTCCTGCATCTGGAGGTGTAAATGTCTGTGATGGTGGGGAGACTGACTCCAACAGACTTCTGTGCAGCCTTCACCACTTCACATTGTCTTACTGGGTTTGTTTAGTCAGCGTCCAAATGTTGTGAATTTCAAACTAAATGTCAAGAAAGCAACACAAATGCTAAAAATGTGTGCTTCTAAATGACTGTAAAGATAATGCATTCTATAATTTGCTGAAACAGCATGCAAATAAATGATTAATGTTGCAAATTAATTAAAATTAAAAGCGTTTTTATATACTGGATACATATATACCAAGGATGGTGATCTTGACATAAGATCCAAACCCCTGTTGTGGACTGTCAGTGATCTGAGCTCCGCCCTGTGGATCACTGAGGTAGATGAAGAACACTTCCTGTCCCTCTGGCTCTGAGTCGTCCATGATGATGAGGATAACTTCTGCCTCTTCCTCACCCGGCTGCAGAGACACCACAGAGGACTCCAAGCGGAAGTCCTGCTCCACCTTTGCGAGAGTCCCAGCAGGTTGCAGAGTGAAGGGAGGAGGTTTTGTACTTCCCTCTGAGAGAAATGACACAAACACACACGTGTGACAAAACTATAATCACTGTAGAACAAACTACCAGTTAAAAACAACAAACCTCCATATGCTTGGACACGCACTGTCACAGCCTCTGCAACACTGTTAGACCTGCGCACCCTCAGAACAACCCTTTGCTCCTGCTGGGTTGCGTCATCCTTGTCCTCTGGTACTTGGACCTGAACAGGTCCAATGCTCAGAACTCCACCAGTTGCATCACTGGCCAGAATGGTGACCGTAGCCACGCTGTGCTGAGGGTTGAGCCGAGGAGGCGTATTCACCCAGACGAAACTTGGAGTTAGGACCTGAACATGCGTTAAATTGACGTGAAAGTACTCATTGGGCTCTGAAAGGGCATCATCGAGTATCGAAAGGCTGAACGAGGAGTTTGTTTGATGAGGTGAGTCAAAGACCAAACGACCATTTGGCACTGCAAGAAAATCCTGCCCTGCTGCTGCACTGCCTTCTACAGTCGTATAGGACAAGTGAGTAGTGTTACTACGAAAACCATAAAGCCTCTGGACATGAAGTGTTATCGTCTGGATGTCCTCAGCAATGACAAGCTGTCGGGAATCAGGGGCGAACTGGTAAATACCTAGCGGCTCCACTTCTGCCACCATAAAGCCTGACCTGTTCAGAAAAGCACACATAAGCAGAAGCACTGATGCACTCGGATGCATTTTCTTTAAACCACTGCTGCCTACCTGAACCTGACAGCAGCACCTGCAGCGGTGGCATCAGTCAGGTGTACAGCATAGGAAGCTGCTTCTGATCCGTTAGCAACTGCAGTGAAATACACGGTTTTATTCCTCTCTCCGTGAGCCAGGATCAGAGAGCCTGAATATAAAAACACATGCAGACCATTAGGAAACCTGAGGCACATGAAAAAAATAACAGATGTAATGTTCAAGTGTATCTTACTGATACTCAGATTTTCTGAGCTTAGTCCATCTCTGACTGTCTTACCTGAGTTTGGGACAATGGGCCCAGTTCTGAAGCCAGGTGGATCCTGTCCAGAAGGAAAACCAGCTTTCCACTGCACCCTTATCTCTCCAAACAGGCCTGTTCGCATCACTTCAGCCTCACATGTCCCTGTTTCTACATTCAAAACCTGCAGAGCCACTGAGGCAAAGCCAACCTGTAACACAAGTTAAAAAATAAAAAAAACATTTAATTGTGATTTTTAATTTGCTCTCCACTGTGGAATAAATAATCTGTAACTCATCAGGTTATCAAAAACATCTTTTTTGGCACTTATGTTCTTTGTCATGCAAATTTCATTGTTAGCTATTGCGTAAATGCAAACGTATTTGATAATAATCAAAAGATTTCATGCTTCAGCACTTTCTTGATTTTAAAATGTTTTAATTTCTAAATTCTAGCAAAGTCTGTGGAGAAAGTTATCTGAGGATTACTGTTCTGTAAATCCACGTTTGCCTTCCAGTGATAGCTACATAGTTACCTTTACCAGAAAAGTTACAGGATGTTTACTCAGAATTATTTAAAGAGATAAAGGAGAGATCTGCATGCTGTTTTTACCAGCGATTTTTGTAAAAAGGGATTAATTTACTTTGTGGATTCTGATGCGCATGCTGATTTTAACTGGACTTACAGATGCTACACAATTTCAGATTCGTCATTTTAAAAAACGTAAGTTTGTTTATTGATTTTCTGTTAAACTATATTTACTTTATTTTTCAAAGTGAACAACTATGTTATATTCATGATTTATATTTGTGAATGAAGGTACATACTAAATCAGACAAATTCATCCAAAACAACAAACGTCTGAGGAGACACAGTGAGCACACCAGTTTAAGATTCCTTGTTCTGATATTAAACGTGTCTTTCTTGACATGTTCCACCTTTCAGCTGTGGCAATAAAAAATAGATTAGCATTCAAGGATGAACAGCACAACTCGCCTGTGAGCTTGCAGCTTCTTCAGGTACAGTCACCATAGCGACGCTGGTCTCAGGACGGAGGCGAGGCAGGGAGCCTTGGACAGCACTGACTAGTCTAACGTCAGTGAGCTCTGCGGAGAAGCTCGCACCCACCGACAAAAATGTCTATGAGATAAAAATAAATAAATAAATAAATGTCCTTAGACTGAATCAGATCATTCAATTATGACTTTATTAGTGTCTCGTTTAAAAACCTTCTCTTCCTCACCTGACTACTGATGGGGATGGTGATTTCTTTGAAAGTTTGTCCCTCTGTCATGAGCAGCCTCCCTTCAGCTCGTCCTCCCAGTATCTCCTGGATGTCCATCAACTTGCCTACCTCCCCACTGATCTTATAACCCACACTGACATTCCCAAACAGCCCAGAAAGCCGAGTCACGTTCACAATCAGAGTTCTGTTGACCCCAGACCCTGAACCCACCACCACTACAGACTGCTGCACTGGGTTCAAGGAAAACACACCGTGAGGATCATCATTAGCAGGCACCCTAAAGGATAAATAGGAAAATTAATTTAAAGTTAGACATTTTAATTGTTGCCTTTAAAAAAAAATGGCTCCAATGTCAAACCTTATGTAAGTTCTGATAAGGTTTGTGTTGGCATCCAGAGTCCCACCACCCTCCACAGCTGTGAGCTGGAGAATATAGAGCTCCTCCAGCTCTGGCACTGTATCAGGCATCAGGCGAAGGATAATCTCTGCTTCTCTGTAGCCTTCCAGAATCATTACTGAGCCGGTAAATGCTTGAAAGTCACCTATTATATCTGAATTACTTTGTATCTGCCAGTGGACCTGTCAAAACGCAGTAGACTTTGATTATTCACGAGACAGTTAGAGAATAAATGTACATTTATGATGCAATCTTACAGTGATATTGCCCATGACACCCTCTCTTCGTGTAACCAACAAGGAAATGTTACGTGGACCCTCAGCTTCTGTGGATTCATTGAACACATGTTCTCGAAGAGCATCGTCGGTGAACTGGACTATACCATTCGGGTCACCAAACTTCTCTATCTGAGAAATGAAGACAGGACACCTCAGCTGGGTGTGTTCTGGAAGAAGAATTGTCATCGTCTAACTATCTGAACTCAGTCGTGGTGTTATTATACAGTGAAAGACCTTGAGTGTTATGGAGCCAGCGTGAGGATCAACATCCATCTCTCCGAAAAGGATGCTGAGCTTTATGACAAACGTCTCCTCCACTTCCACTTCACCATGAGGCAGAATCCGCAGCTCTATAGTCGCTTTACCTGCTTCTCCATCTTTAAAAAAGAAGGACCCATTCACAGGCTCTCTAATGTCTGTGTTCAATGGGGGAAGGACCTCTCTGCTGTTAGGTCCTAGGATGATCCAAGCAACCTGTCAAAAGAAATGACAAGTCTCAGGGAAGTTTCTTCACGATAAGCTGATGTATTTTCTTTTCCAGCATTGGTCCTCGTACCGTTGCATTGCCCAAAAGGCCTCCTGCTCGCTCCACAACAAAACTGAGCTTTAACATAGAGCCAGGGTTTGGCACAGTGATTAAACTTTCATTTGCGAAGCGGACCACACCGCTTGGAGAGTCACTCTTGCCAATGGTTATCCTCGCAACATGCTGGGGTCCTAGAACCGCTCCTCCTGTAGCTCCAACCAGCAGGACCTCAAATGTTTCAGCAGGTTCACTAGAGGCGAGTAATTTTAATATAATTATGTGTTTTTCGTACTTTTACAAATCAATGTACATTTTTCTAAATATTACCCTCTCACCTGTCCAGGTCATCAATAACAGTGACGTTGATGTAGCTGATGTTCTGGCCGTTGACAAATGTCACTGAGTCGTTGTGCAGGATGTAGTCGACATCAGGAGTTGCACTCAAGCCTCGTGACATAAAGTGAGCAGAGACCGGTCCATATGAACCCACTCTCCTCACCACAGGGATCAGGACAGTACTCACATCCTCTTCAACTAAATGAAGGAGCACAAGGAGAACCATTTATTGAGTCATTTTTGTTATTGTATGCAATAAGAAGCTGTTAACACTTGGCTTTCTTTTACCTGTGATGTTAAGATAGTCCTGCCTGAACTCCAGGACACCTTCAACATTGTCATTTTGCTGTATGAGCACAACAAGAGATGAGATGTTGCCTACAGCTGGAGGCTGGTCCAACTGCAGTCCTGACTCTCGCACTGTGTAGTCCACAAGACTGCCCACAGGAGGGAGGCACACGATAAGAACAACTCAAGTTAAATTTAAATATTTCACAGCAGACTCTTGTTATAAATTGTGTTCAGTTAGTAACCTGAGGTTGAGCAGCTCTACATTAGTGATGTTGACAAAAAACATTTCAGGCCCTTCTGGAAGACTGTCATCTTGTAGGTACAGTGTGATGTTTTGTGAGGTTTGGCCTGGTGTGAACAGCAGTCGTCCAGAAGCTTGTGCAAAGTCCAACCCACTGACTGCTGTGTTTCCTGAGGTCTTGTAACTCACCCACACACGACCCAAACTGCCACGGGAGCGATTCACTGTCACATTGACCTGTGGAAAAGAAAGGAAGTGTTGGGGTTAGGTTTGTAACTGCATCACAACCTATCACGTCTCATAATTAGGACCTCACCGTTCCCTCCTCCTCTTTCACCATGAGCTCAAGGTGGGTGAAGGAGAAAATGCCATAAGGGTGGTCACTAGCTGCCACAGTGATGGTGGCATTCCTGGCTGTGGGACTTATCTCCAGTCCTACTGTAGCTGAGGTGAGTGAGAGCTGGTACTCAGTGCGCTCTTCAGGGATTTCATCGTCGAGGACCTACCAACACGAAGAGATCATTTCAAAAGAAGGACTTGGAAAACTGCTGCAATAATGAATTTTGTTCTGATGTGTGCAGATAAACTAACACCATTTTCTTTATTGAACTCCATCTACATGTCATTCCATACCGTCAAAGTTATGTTAGCCTTCGATTGTCCATCTCTCATGATCACAGTGCCAGAAATGGTTGCAAACTCAGAGGCTACAGCAGGAGTGATGTTCCAAAAGACCTGCACATCTCCAAAAACACCGGGACCTCGCACAAGGCTAAAGGGAAGCACACAAGTGCAGACCATTTTCACTTTACATTTACGAGACATAAACTACATAGAATTACAGAGTTCAGACATTTTAAAATGGGTTCTCTGGGCTCTCTTGTTCTTTTTTTAACTTAGTTTGGCAAAGAAATGTTCAATTCTGACCAAATTTACAAGTTAACAGCTATTTCAAGCATAGTCATAAATAAAGTGGACTGTGTTTGTCTTAAGACAGCTCTAATCTTAAAACTTTCATTAAAGTTTATTCAACTGGAATTGTAAAAAAAAAAAAAAAACACTAATCTTATGTTACACCTTTGAACATAGAATTCTACGATTCTTTACAAGCACAGTGACAGCTGCAGCACTTTGACAGGAAAGTCATAATATCCCCAAAATAACCTTGCAAAAACGAATAAATAAATAAATAACAATAGTAGTAATAATACAATTAGTAGTATCAAGGTTTAAATATAGTATTAGAGTTTGCATAAATTATAACTTCTTTATGACTGGAGTTCTAGATGGAAGCAATCTTTTTTTGGTTTCGGCCCTTCTCAGTCATTAGCCATGAAAATTAAAGTCAGAATTAAACTCTTTTTCCAAACTAAAGTTTCTTAAATAGCTATCTTTAACAGGTAAGATATTAATTGTTCATATCATTTCCACAGAAACACAGACGCTCAGAACTATTTTTCAAGCTCTGGTGTTTTACGTTTGTAAGAAAACATGTCACTTATCTCACCTGACTGTGGAAATCCCTTTATATGCTCCTTGAGGTTCTCCAATGATGATGTTCCTTGATGACTCCGCTACTCCAATAATCCCCAGAGCTGCCATGTCTGCCCTGATGGTGATGGTGACCACACCTGCACATGATTCATGAAGACATTTGGGACATAAAAGAGAAAATAGTTATTGCTTTATAATGAAAACACTGCACTCACACACAGTCAATTTGATATTTTTATATAGTCACAAACCATGTAAGGGGTCAATGACAGCACCACTGTCAGCAGGAAACAGACGTAGAGTAAAATGCTCATCTCCTTCCAGCACTTCGTCAGCGAGGGCTCTAATTACAAAAGACTTAACAGTCTCAGTCTGTGGGGAAAAAAATGCAAAGAAAGAAAGAAATATTACATGATGGATGAGTTTATTTTAACAAAAGAAGTAGAATATCTCCTGGGTGAACATGAACAGATGCAGATTTTTAACTCTACCTCAGAGAAGACAAGAGTTCCATTAAGAGGTGAAAGGTCACGTGCAGCCCGGTCTTCAACCTGCCACACCAGCGTCACGGCTCCGACGCCTCCAGCACTACGCAGCACAACCAGCGTGGCCACAGCGGCAGGATCCTTCTCAAACCCTGGCTCACTGACAACAACCTTACAGCAAAATATGTAGATTAAAAAATAAAAATAATACAGCGCTTATTTTATAGGAGACGTAAAGTTTTGCTAATATTTTACTGCATGACTTCAAAGCTTTTCACTTGATTCTAAAACGCATGATGTCAACGCTTTCCATATTTAATACTGATTACAGGTGTGGTGGTAAATCCCTCTCTAGGAGGCTGAAAGCACTTCAGGTTCACCTCCAGTCCCTGAAATCCAAATCGTCCGAGGGGCGAGTCATTTGGTGGAACAGTGACGGTCACCGAGGTCGCCTGTCCAAGACGTGCACCACCAATCACACGCAGTAAATCCACTCTGAAGGTCTCTGAGGTCTCCACTTGATCATCATCCAAGATGGTGATGGCTACAGTAGCTTCTTTCTAAAAAATAAGATAAGATAAAATAAAATAAAACTTTATTGTCTACCACAATTGTGGCAGAAATTCTCTTTTGACATGCTCTATGTTCATCATACATATACAAGAACCAACAATAGAATATAATAAAGAAAAAACACATCATCACCATTAGTTAACACCATTAAGATGTGTCTCTTTAGCTTTCTTTAAGAACATGACTGCAGATGGTTCAAACGATTTCTTATAAATGTTCTTGATGATGATGATAAATGATAATCTGTGACCAGGCAGACAGTTTTATTTGAGTTTAAATCAATGAATAAGATCTACCTGACCATCTTGAAAGGTGATGTTTCCTGATATGGGGCTGAAGTCATTGAGAGCAGCAGTGATTGGCACAGCCTCCCAGTAGACCAAAAGTCTCCCAGTTGTACCAGCAAGTCGCACCACTGACAGATGAAGGATGTTGTCTGGTGGTGGGATCTCATAGGCTATCACACTTCCAGGAATATCCTAAAAGACACATTTACCACGTTAAAATCAAATAGTTTAGCAAAATAGCTCATAACATAACTATTTTGATTGTGTCACTCTGTTCTTACGAAATTTCCCAAACAAATCGACTTCAAATGAGCTTCATTGCATCATTTCCTGTTTTGAAACCAGGTCTTTATTTGTAGATTGGTGCGTTCTCACCTCAGAAATGTTAAACTGCAGAACCCCTCGTGGATCATCATTCTCCTGGATGGTGATCTCTGCTACCTCCAAACCAGGCCTCTTCAAACTTGGCTGCCCAGCTCCAACAGAGCCTCTAACCAGCTCCACTCCAGTGATATTTACCAGGAAACTCTCTGCAAGCTCTGGGATATCATCCTTTAAAATAAAAAAAATAAAAAAACACATGCATGTATGATATTAGCACAAAAACATACTGGTGGTTGTAAATTTAATGAATGCCTTTCTCATCCTTACTGGTAGGACTGTGACAATGACAAGGGCCACAGTAGCACCATTTATCATGACAACAGTGTCATCTTTGGCTAAATAATCCACTCCGGCAGAGGCCTGATTAGAGGGGGGCTGGTACAGAGCCGGCTTGGTTTGATAATGGATCACCACCTCACCCGTGGAGCCCTGCTCCCTTATTATAGAAAGAGTCACATTTACCGGAGCTCCTGTAGGTTGGGGGAAATAAGAGTAGAAGTAAATAAATAATTGTTTTAGGGGTTGTTTTTGGTAAAAAAAACAAAAAAAACCACCTTTTTACCTAATTTACCTAAAACCTAATTTAATCACAAAGCATCATTCGTGTGTTTGTCAGAGTCTTACTCGGTGGTTCCTGCGTTAGTATAAACTGGGAGTCCAGATGCCACCCTATCACGCCGTAAGGAGATCCATTCGGTAGGATGGTGAGCAGAGCCTGAGCCCGCTGCTTGTCAATGACGGCAGCCTGTTGCTGGTCCTGAAGGCCCAAAGTGTTGACGCCCAGGATGGCGACTGTGACACTCTCGCTCAGCTCTGGGAAACCATCAGCTAATACGGTTAATGAGATGATGGCTTGTGTTTCGCCCTCAGAGAATGTCACCTGTGATGATGAATTGACATTTGTGTTGTTAATCTAAAAAAACGAGTTCAGGCCTGTCATTTGTACATGTAGTTTTGTTTGTTGAGTTTGACACGACATGATAAGTTACTCACCACCCCAGAGGTGGGGTAAATGTCAGCCAAGCTCCCATTAGCAGCCCAGTGAACTGTCAATCTACCAAAAGTCCCCCTTTTCCTCTCCATGCTGAGAGAAATTAGGTTGTTTTGTTCCAGTTCCTCCACCTCCATGTACAGAGAATTCTGCAAAGACATTTACGGCTGAGATTAACATCGAGAAAAGATGTTTAAATATCCATAATGTATAAACTCAAAGAGTGTAACATCAGGCGTGTTTGGATTTTATAAGCTCACCTGAGCAAAGCCGATAACTCCGTGGGCATCATCATTAGTTGGGATAAAAACTGTCACCTGACCACCAAAACCAATCTCTGCTCCACCTTTTGGGTTCTTCAGTCTGACCTGGAAGTACTCCTCCACCTCGGGGATGTCGTCGTCTATGACGTTCACTGCTAACTCCAGCTCTCTGTCACCCGGCGCAAAGTACAACTCCCCAGAACTGAAAGTTTCAAGGTAAAGAAAAATACATACATCTTTGCCTTATTTTATTTAGAGAAGATGGTGTCCAAATTAAAACTCCTCATCTTGGAGAACTGGATACCTGGGTATAAAATCGGACTGATTTGAGACAGAAGTAAACTGGTAAACAGTGGAGCTATTGTCCTCAGCAGAGGCCAGAAGGGTCTTTGTGGCGTTAAGAGACGGGACCATAAATGAGGTGAAGCTAACAGCTGGAGGCGCCCTCAGGATCATGGTGAACAGTTTGATGTCAGACCTCCAAGAGTACAACGATGAACCATTTCTTCCAGCTAGCATGACATGAGCTACACAAAAACGTAAAAAATAATGAAATTAGGAGAAAAGCTTGTGAAATACAATAAAAATCTGAATCAAAATGCCTTTATTCTCATGAATTGTTACAAAATTGGCTAATTAATCTTGTCAATGCACACAGAAAGTAAAAGTCACCATGAGTATAATATTTGGAAATAAAAATAAGGTTCAAAAATAGTTATGTTAATATTAGACATGGTTGTAAACAATACAGTTCCGTTCTTGAGGTTATTTAATGTGATGTGAAATATTAATTAAATTAAATCAGATGATGGAAGATATTTTAGCTCATGTAAATGTCCTAAATCAAAAAGCCCAACGAATGAACATATGCTTAGTTAATACCCAAGTATTTAAAATCATCTTATTAAACATTTTTAATAATATTTGTTCTTACGGATCCCAGAAGATGAAATAAAAGAGTGAATAGAGGTGAGGCCCGGGTGTGGAATGGACTGATTGGGTAGTGGTGAAGGGTCTCCTGTGGTCCACTGAAACACCTTACAGGATGGAGGGAAACCTGTGAATAAAAGTACAAACAAAAATACACACATATTTAAGTTCTTCTACATTGGAACAGCACAGTTATGTAACTGCTGGCATGAATGTCACTCCCAAGACTGACAAATTACAACTTATGAATCCCTTTGTGGCTCTGCTTCAATACACTCTGAGGCCTTTTTTGCACAAACCCCCATCCAGACCTAAAACTCACCAATTGTGCAAACTCAGAAGGTTTATGTCTCTTCAAAAATACACAATGTTAAACAAACACAGCATATAAGAAGGTCTGCACTATACATTTTTGCAATCAGACAACAGAACAAAGGTTTGTGAGTCATAAACAGCTTCTGTTTGTGGCACCAGTTTATTTGTACAATCCTATCCAACGTCTGTCCACAGCAAAAGCCACTACAAAGAACGTCGTAAACACGACTGCATAAAACAATAATGAATGCAAAAACACAACCATTCTTGTTGCATTTTATAGACGCGATGAAAAGAAAAAACATTTTAGGTCATGTTTAATGGGAAAACCAGCCATTTTGCTGACAGACAGACTGGGTTGACTGCAACAATTAATGCCAAAATTTTAAACAAAGCTCTTGTTTGAGCTATTATTGCTCACACTATGTGTTGGGGGTGGCTCTCAGCTACTACCATACCAAACTTTAGCTTACATTTTATTTAACTGGCTGAGTTATATCCATTTATAAGTTGTCTAAGTTTAAGTAGCTGTGGCGACTACAATATCTTGAACTAAGCTGACTACAAAAGGTGACCAGTTGTAGATGTGCATCCAATCTTGGCTTTTTGAAGGTTTTATTAAAAACCTATCAATTAAGGCAGTGAATGGTAAACTATGTGATCTCTGCATCATCTGGGTCAATTATCAACATCAATTCAGTTACACGGTAAACACTACTTTTTCCAGCTTTGTTCTATGAAACGAGAAGAGTTTGATCACCTTCAACAGCAATCAGCAGCAGAGCACCATCTGTTCTTGTGTTGATCACCTCCACCCGGATGGCTCTGCCGGTGACTGGGAGACCCTGTGGATTCTGAAATCTACCGCCGGTCCACTGAAGCACCCGGCAGCCTAAAGTCTGGCTGTCAACGCACATCAGCAGGTAGGGCACACCTGCACGAGTGAATGGAGTCAAGCTGAGGATGTTTTGCTGAAAGTCAAGGGTCTGGTGGAGGGTAAAAAAGCTGCCTGTCCAAACAAATATCTGGAGAATAAAAGAAACACACGTTTCAACGTTCAAGCATATTTCAAGTTAGGATTGTAATTCCTTTAAACGCTTCTAATATTTGTGTCACCTGGCTGGATGCTATAAGGTAATGTTTGCCATCAGAGGAGAAGTGTTTCACATCCAGAGGCTCGACACCTAAAATTTGCTCCTGCAGAAATCATAATGGCTCAGATTACATCACCATACAAGTCAGCTTCACGGTGTTACAGTAATGCAGTGGTTCCCAACCCTGGTCCTCGATGAACCCTGCATGTTTTAATTGTTGCTCTTGTCCAACACACCTGATTCAGTGATTTAATTACGTCCTCAAGTTCTGCAGAAGCCCGTTAATCACCCATTCATTCTAACCAAGTGAGTCAAAGCAGGAAAAAAACTAAAACGTGCAGGATGGTGTTCCTCAAGGACCACGGTTGGGAAACCCTGCTAAACTAGAGTAACTCTGTGTTGAGGAGTTTCACTTACCAGTGTGATGTTGAGGTCCTTCTGCAGTTTGAAAATGCTGAGATTGGCAGCAGGAAAGAAGGGAGGACCACCATGTGTGATGCCAATGTAGGTGGAACCATTCACTGCAAACCCAACACACGAGGCTGGGTCCTGAACCCTAACGGACTTTAGGAATGAAAACATAGAGGAATGAGTGATAATCCTGTTTCAAATACATTTTACTTTCAATTATAAAATGTTCACCAACTGGATCAGATATAATTTCTTTACCTTTATTGGCACAAAAACACCTTGCCACCTGTACAGAGTGGCAAAAGTGTAGGAGGATCCAATCATGGGCTTTAAATCCAACCTCACAGCCAAGAAGGAAGGATCTTCAGGAAGAGAGCACCAAGCAGATGTGGGGTTGTCTGTGAAGCTCTGGTACAAGCCCAAGACGGGCAGGAGACCCTCTAGAAAAGAGAAAAGAATACTGGTAACTAGAGTACTGACTGAACGAAAATAACATTTAACTATTATTATGGTGTAAGAGTAGTATTTATAAGAATTCAATAGGTTAGGATCACTTCATGTTTATATCTCTCACCAGAGGCAACAGCTGCGTCAGACAGCATCTCCCATTCCACACTCACAGCTGACTCCAAACCATTACTGCGAGATACCGTGAGGAAGACTGCCCTGCTTCCTTCATTAACAATCACATCTGTAATGGTTCTGTATAGAAAGACAGTAAGTAAAACCAGGTTAATATGTTTGCATTTTAAAAGCTAAATAAACTGTGGATGCAGCATTATACAATGAAAACAACTGATGAGGGTGAACATTTCTGATTCGTTTCATTTAGATGTTGTGAAACCTGTTGAGAGTAGGTCCAATTCGGAATAGGCCCGATGGAGCCAAGTTTGCCAGGATGGTGATAAAAGTTTGGAGCTGGTTGCCGAGCCGAGCGCCTCCTGTTGGGTTGGACAGAGCCACTGTGAAGGTCTCATTCCCCTCAGGTTCAGCATCAAGTACTGCCTTGATCTCCAGCATCTGAAACAATGCACAAAAAATTGCACTTAACATTTTATGATCTATTGTAATATATGCTTATGTGCTGTTTCTACATACTTTAAATCTAACTCCATCTTCCAGAACCACAAACCCATGTGTCGGTATCACATCACCCTCTGCGAGGCTGCCGTTGGCATCAGTGATGGTAAACTGAACGGACACGGTTCCAAAGGTGCCTTCCTCTGGGTTCCGGACCACAAAAAGTTTGGCTTTGCTGTCGCTCAGCTGTGACACGGAGGTCGGCTCTCTCAGCAGAAAATGATCACTGGTGTTGAAGGAAAGCACTCCATGTCCATCATCACTGGCCAGGATATTCACAGTGGCTGAAAAAAAAAAGATAATTATTAAATATTCTTGTGTACAATACAATTGGAACCAAAAGGAAAATAAATACAACAGTAGTCTGAATGTATTTGACTTTTAGGACTACTGTAAATTGCAATTCTTTAGAGTAATAATGTTTTAAACCTTTTCTAATTATTCCCTGCTGCCATCAAAGATGAATTATGTAAAATTATGTAAATATCTGTGTGTGTCTCCTGAGTGTGCTTGCATACATGTTTATTTGTCTGTTAGCAAAATATCATTAACCAGTGGCCACATTTTAATGAAACTTTCAGAAAATAATCATTGAAGCTACATCTACACCTGAAAAACTTTTACAGTCAATCTGATTCAAAACAGCCACCAAAGCAACCTTAGAGCACATCAAATGATGATAACTCAGTCAATTTTACAGATGTTGAGCTCAATTTTGGAGTGGTAGTAGCTGAGTTTAATCGCTAACATATACTCTGAGCACGACTAGATAGCATGAGATCAAAACAAAATATCTGACATACATCGTGGGACATTTCAATACCTTCAAGGAATACTAGTTTTTACTTTTTCAAGAAATTAAGTTGCGATATGGTGGCTCAGTTGGTAGAGCTGCTGCCTCTCAGCAAGAAGGTCACCAGATCAAATCCCAGCCTGACTTTTCTGAGTGGAGCTTGCATGTTCTCTCCATGCATGCATGGGTTTTCTCCGGGTACTCTGGTTTCCTCCCACAAATCAAAAACATGCATGTTAGACTGACGTAACTCTTAATTGTCTCTAGGTGTGAGTGAGAGACTGAATGGTTGTTTGTCTCGTTTGTCTCTATGTGTCCCTATGATGGACTGGAGACCTGTTCAGGGCGCCTCCCACTTCTCGCACAGTGACTGCTGGATATGGGCACCAGTGACCCCCATGACCCAAAACGGAAGAAGCGGGTAAAAGATAATGGATAGATGGATGAAATTAAGTGCATGGACTTGATAAATATATTTTCTAATACTCTGATGTGTTGCCATAAGTGTAGAAAATTAAATTGCTAATTTGATGATTAGCTGCCCTAAACTCCATGCCTTTCTAAACCCATTTTAATCAAAGTTCAGAGCAGATAGTTGCAGTTTATTTACATGCAATAATAATTTATACTTCCTTTTTAAAGTGTATAGCACAGAACTATGATTACTGTCCAATAAAACACTTGCTGATCAAATAAAACTTGCATGCTACTCTGTAACAAGTATATCTTTGTTTGATCTCTTTTATGAAATGTATTTTCCTATCTCTTGACAGAAATCTCTACAGTGCACCGTAGTATGCATTTAGATGGATTTCTGTTGTGTACTATCTACACGCCTGTTTGTTTCTGTTACATTTCATTGTGTTCCCTCCTTCTGTCTACCTGTGGTGTTGGTGCCCAGCTCCAGGCCGGCGGATGGTTGAGACAGGATGAGCTGGAATCGTTCGGGTCCCTCTGGAGTGGCGTCATCGATTATCTGCACTTCGACAAACTTGTACCTTTCTCCATTAACAAAGTGGAGTATCTGGGTGGACAAGGGCATTTGTATAAATTTAAAAAAAAGTCACAATACTTTGTGAAAATCTTTGTGGATTTTATAGTCAGGGTTAACTGCACTGTTTAAACCATAAAAATATTTTGCTGCAAGCTTAGATTCTATTTTTAAATAAATGTCCAGATTATTGAATTTGTGTAAAATCCTTGAGTGTTTAATTATAGCCAACCGTGTCACTGATGTTGTAGTCAAGTCCCTGCTGCGCTTCCAGGTTTTGAGCATAAAGCATGAGGGAGACATTTCCGTATGTCCCCTTGTTTCTGTAGGCCACAAGGGTCAGTGCTCCTATTGATTCATTCACTTCAAACCTGCAAACAAGAGCACATTAAGAGCAAAGCATCTTAAAAACATAAAGAAATATATGAAAGAGTTAAACGTTTTTCTTACATGGTGTTTGTCCATTCGATGACCCCTCTGATGCCATCATTAGCAGCAATACTGACTTCTGCAACCAAACCCTGGGTGTCTGAGGAAATAACATGATGACTCTTGAGTTTTTTAGTTGTTTGGGATTGTGGCATGAACCAGCAGTTTCCCGTTATTGTAACTAAAGTGCAAAAGCAGTAGGGGCAAGATGTGTGAAGAGAAGCCGCTGCAGAGGAGCTAACTTCTGCCACGGCACATGTGAGTGGAGGGTTACAACGAGGAGACATCTACATCTACATCTTCGAAGCTTGAGAGGCTAAGGAGCCAAGTGTTGATGCAGACTGATTTATAACCTCCTGAATAATGTTCTCCCATACACTCTGTGGCTGAGACGCAGGGAGGCCAGTTACGGGTTTTGTTTGGCTTTCTGTCTCCACACAGAGATTTTCGTTGCCACCAAATCCCCAGCCTTCTTCAATCATAGAAAGCACCAATCCCACCGTCCAAGCCACATAATGATTGCTGCCAAAAAGGACGGCTGTGTGTTTACGGAGTGTCTCTAAGCAGTGGGCTGATAGTATCCTGGGAACTTTTGAATGCTGGTGTACTTGTAGCACTTTGTCCACTCATCACTTTCTACGGTTACTCATTCATAAACTGGACTGTGGTTTAGATTTTACACTAGGAGCCGAAATGCAGCAACAAGCTTCTTTGAAGTGCCTTTTTTTTTTTTTTTTACAGCGAACTGAAAACAGATTGTACTATAGAAGATTACTATGCATTAAAGAAGATTTGAAGCACAACTAAAAGTGCATATTATCTGACAAAGTGCAATATACAACTTCTGCTCATTAAACAAGAGAAAAAAAAAGAAAAGTTTACAAAGAAAATACATTTCTAAACATTATGCAAACAAAACAGTGCAACACTTCAGAAAAATAACTAGTAGAAAAATGAATGAGATTCATCAATACCTGTTTAATAAATACTCCCTAAAGTTTTCCATACCTAGTTGGGGATATGTGGTGAGGGTTGTGATGAGTACTGCAGATGTTATGTTGACCAAGAAAAACTCCTGTAACTCGGGAATGTCATCCTGATGGGAAAAAAAAATAATTTAAATGCATCATTTAAATAAATCTGACAAAAGGTAGGTAAGCTTGCAAAACAAACAATATGATTAGTATGGTAGTATATGTTATATATAGTTTATTGTATGAATGCTGATTCAGCATCAAAATTATTATTTTTTTGTTTGTTTGTTTTATTTCAGACTGTTTCTGTTGAAGTTGCATTATTTTAGCCATTCATATATCAATCATATTCTCTAGATAGCCTTTGTTACTTTATCTTATGGTCTATTGCTACTTTAAGTATTTTGTTAGTGCTTTTGCTCCCTTTATGGTTGATACATACGTCACAAGAAGCATGAGGAAAAAATGCTCTTTTCCAGGCTGCGAGAAAAGAACAACCGCTTTTCTTCTCCCTGCCTTGATTTGAGTTCTTGCAGTAGGACTGGTCAAAAATCTGAAGTGGGCGTGTGAATTTAAAATTTAAATGTTTACATTCTTGTTTGTGCAATGAATAGTTTTGACAAGCAGTAGGCTGAGGCCGTTAGTAAGTACAAAAATCTCTATAATACGTCTTTAAAGGTATGTAATAAGGCACACCAGTGGCTACTTTGTTAAAAAGAAGGAGCCGAAACATTGTATGCAGAAGAGAGAATTTGTCAAAATAAATTAATAAATAAAAAGAATAGACATGCAAAGGTCAAATGGAAGAGTGGTGACCCATGTGGGAGGCAATCAGTCCTGCAATGGGAGGAACGAGGTCTCCCCAGGAAGTTCTGTGCATGAGTCTTGTGTGAAGTATAAAATATCCTGATCAAAACAAACTTTGTTCTTGAACAAACATATTTTTTGGCTCGTGCAGAATAAGTCAAAAGCTTTAGCTTTTAGCTAGTGTTCTGCTTCTTCCAGCTTTAAAACCTCACGTTTCAGGTTCTTCAGCGAAATCAGTAAAGTTTTACAGCACTCATCAATCTCACCGCATTCACCAGAAAATGCAGTTTCCCTAGTTAAAATGATGATTTTTGCTTTTTGTTCAAACAAGTTAACACTGTAAAGCCACAAAATGATCCACTTTGTCTTGTTAGCTATCCGTGGGCAGCAGAAATTGTTGACGCGCAATAAAAGAATATATCAGTGAACATTTAATTATGATTTATAAACATAAAAATAGGAACATGAAAGACTGTTTTTAAACCTCCAGAATGGTAACAGGGATGCCAACTGAGGTCTGTCCATCTTGAAGGATCACAGAACCAACACCAGCGATGAAGTCTCGTCCTGGATCAGCCAGAGCCCCCTCCACCACAGACAGGTTTTGTAAGGAACCTCTTATTACCTCATAGGTAATATTCACCACACCTAAATCAAAATATGTGAGTCCAATATCCCAAAATTGAAACCAATGTGATAATGTTGATTTATCAAAAAGAACAAACAAACCTGAGGCTCCAACCCCCCTGTTGATGTAGATGTTTATGACGTGGTCCCGTTCCTCAGTGGTTACCCTGAGGGATGATGGGGCAATAGTCAGCAGGCTGTAGGGCTGATCACTGGTGTCGACAGTAAGCACTGCATCAATATTAATCAGGGCAGCACGGCCTGTTTCTCCTACACCTGCAGGGAAGCAACGATCTTATTCAGTTACAATTAAAGTGATTTTACAGTTGTATACATAGGATCAATTCATGTTTGTTTATATATGTGTGTGTGTATATAGGGCTGCTAAAAAGATATATATTCATAAATTACCAAATGTTTGTATGTTTGACAGTAAAACTCTGTATTCATCTTTGTTCTCTGGTGTGGCATCATCCAGAAGTTGCAGGAGGATAGTTTTATTTTGCTGTCCCTGTAACAAACAGCAAAACCATAATGCATCTGCTGGAAATGCAAAGTTACAAATGGGCACTTAACTCAATTACCCTTACAGCAACCATGCTGATTTGTGCCAAAAACAAAGAAAACAACACAGTGAGGACTGAAACTACAACACGACTAAACACTGTATCATTTACCTCAGTGAAGAAAAGTGTGCCTGAGATTTGAGAGAAGGTCCGCTGTACGAGAGGACCTTGTACAGCCCAGTCCACCGTGACATTACCCAGACCAGGAGCTGTTCTCACCACCAATAAGGACAGTTTTTCACCTGTAATATGAAAGTAAAGCTTCCATTTTAAATATATGCAAGGGCAAAAGCAACTTGACGATTTAATTTCTATTTTAAAATGTGTTTTGATCAGAAAATCGGAGTCAATATTTTCTCGTTAAGCCTTTAAAGAATGAACATTTTCTTTCCTAACTTAAATCCTTTCCTTTGCTACTGATGTTAGTAGATGCCATTCAAGATTAAACTATACAGACTTCAACTTATGCATATATAATTTATGATAATGCCATCTGCAGGGTCTGACTGTTGCAGCATGGCTCCATCAACAGAAGTGCTTTACTGACTTTCACATTCATACATAATTAGAACCCATTTCCAGTGACAGGAGTGTGTGTTGCAGAAATTCTTCTTGTCTGAGCATTGTTTCTGAAAGTCTGCAGACTGAAATTGTGACTTTTTGCAAACTGAAACAATTTGTACCAAATCGCTTTTACCAAGTGCAATCACTGGGGTCAAATGAAGCAGGGCAGTTTATATACACAAAAAGTTGAGCTGTGACTTTATTATAAAATAAAACTATCAAATATTGAGAACACATTTAGACATGTAAAATACACCATGCAGCTGACAAAATGTGTAGACGTGAATAGTTTACTTGTTGCTGCTCCAGCAAATACTCCTCCAGTACCCACCTTCCCTGACAATGACAGAACGTGAGGCTGAATGGAATCCCACTATCCCTGCCACATTGTCGTTAGCCAGTATCACTATGGTTACAGTGTCCGAGCTGGGCAGAATTCGACTTCCTCCGGCTGTGTTAACAAGACCAATCATGAGGCTCTCATTGTCTTCTGGTTCAGAATCATCATTGATTGCTATCTCAATGGTCTTCTTAAGATCACCTATGGACAGATGAGGAAAAGGTACAAACATTGATTATGTGTACATGGTCATTTTCCAAGAACTCTAATTGTTACTGACCCTTTACTGACATTTCAACAAAAGAGCTAACTCAGAAATATGCACATACCATCGAAGACCAGAGTTCCTCCAGTCCCATTGAAGTCAGCACCTGACGTGGCTTTCCCTCCAACAAATCTCCACTCCACAGTGACTCTGCCCAAATTCCCTCCTCGTCTCTCTATAACCAGTGGCACCACAACTGGAGGCCCTTCACGAACCTCCAGAAACAGTCCATTATTTGTAGCATTAGGACTGAGACTGTAAATCAAAAATATACCAAAAGCATCTCCATTCACTCCTATGGTGACTACAGCTTTGGCTGGCTGACCGATCGAGGGCAAGTTCTTCTGTGACACCGTCAAATTTACCAGCTCTACCTTGGAATAACACAGGAGAAATTTACTTATTATGCAGTTTTTGTAACCATGTGACAAAAAGTCCATACATATTAATGGGTTTTACCTTTAATATATGTACCATGAAACTCTCGTCCATTTCAGGGAATGTGTCAGTCAAAATTAGAACTGTAACGTTGGCAACTCCTGATCCATCATCCATGTAGGCACTTTGAGCTGTCATGGGGGAGTAATCACTTCCTGCCATAGCCTGGGAGCTAAACAACACAGCAGCTGCAGTAGAGTTTTTAATATAGGTAAATGCCTGACTTTCAGAGGCCAGCTGCTCAACCCCTGAGGTCACCCATGAGCAGGACGGCAGGGTCACAGCTGAAGACAGAGTGAAGGCCTGGCAGGCACGCTCTCTCAAACATGCAGCAGCACAGGCAGCCACGGGATCTACCTGACCTGTGATGTTAAATTTTATACGGGGTGTATTGGCTGGAACACCTGGCTTTGGAGGGTTGAAGTACATCAACAGGTTCTGGCCATTAGTCTGAGTCAAGCCAACAACATCAATCTCAGATGTGCTGTACTGGATGTCCAATCGACCAAAGTGACCCCCACTGGGCATGGAAAAGGAAAGAGCAGTAAAATGAGCAAAGTATTCAAAATATGCTTAAAACATGACGATGGAAGATATATCAAAAGTACCTCCGGCGGACAGTAATATTAGCTTTGTAAACTCCCTCCAGTGGCTCTTGAACATGATAAACAGACTGTTCAAAGTAAACTGTCCCATAAGGGTTGTCATTGGCAGGCACTATTATGTTAACAGATGTATCGGCTCCCAAGTTTCCTCCATTACTGGCACCAGTTAGCTCTACTTTAATAATCTAGAAAAGAAAACAAAGTGTAGTAAATGTTGTTGCTAAAAATCAACATTTCTAAAGCCATTTAATTTACCTTTTAGATCATTCATGGGCTCACCTCTGTAATTTCAGGTATGTCATCTGCTAAAATCTCCACTTTCAGTGTCTTCATGGTTTCTCCAGGAGCAAATTTAACCTCTCCTGATGTGGGTCTGATGTCCCCTTCTGCTAGTTTACCATTAACAGTCGCCCTCCATTGGACTGCCACTGTGCCAATAGTACCAGCTTTGCGCACAACAGGAAGTGGGACCTCAACAGAGTTGGATTCTGGCTCCTCTACTGTAACTGGAAGAGCCTGGAAAACTGGGTAAGTATAAAATAAAGATCAACAAAGAGGAATTGCTAAAAACAGTATAATAAGCTAAAAGATGTTGAATGATAACTACTAACCAAAGGCCCCAAAAGGGTCATCAGAAGGCAGTATGGTGATGATGGCACGTGTGAGCTCTCCCAGGAGAGCACCCCCAGTTGTTTGGTTGAGCAGCTCAACAATAAAGGTCTCCTCCAGCTCAGGCACCACATCATTAATAACGTAGATGGGCACAGATTTACTGGACTCTCCCTCTAAAAGGACCACGTCGGTTGATGCTACGCTGTAGTCTTCACCTACACGGATACACACAAGCACACACTCAAAATCAGGAACCTGCCTGCTCACACACCAACCATGGAGCAGAGGTTTGATTTTTCAACTCATGCTTCGTGTCTTCATGACTTACTAACTGTGGCGGTCACAGGCACTGCTCTGAACTTGACAGATACATCAGCAAAAATCCCCCCAACACGTGTGACATTAATAATGGGCCCAACGTAATGTTCGGCCACACTGACAGCAGAAGCTGACAGCTGAAGGATTCCATAAGCATCGTCGCTGGCCTCCACCACTACCTGGGCTATGGTGTCAGTCATAGAGCCCAGAGAGGGAGAATTTAAAACTGAAAGAAGATATTTTATATGTTAAATGCAGTACTGTTCAACTACATGTTTTGTATGTCTCAAATAATTTCATTCAATTAAAGTTGTCCACTTAGTGAGAGTGTTGGTCACATACTTAGTCTCTCCTGCTCTCCTTTGATCAGATGAACACTGATCAATTTCACAAAGATTGATTCGTCTCGTTCTGGATCCTCATCATCTAGCACTCTAAGGGTGATATTTGCCTCAGTCTGATTGGCTACAAACACAACAGAATCCATCAGAGGAACAAAATCCTTCCCCTCGGTTGCACGGCCCACCCCAGGGGTGCTGTAAGGTTGTGGATCTGTCTCATTTAGTGTCCCATATGTTACTCGTACCTGTATGGATAGAAATGATGGAAACTGATACAAGTGTTACTTGTAAAGCATCTATTGTTGTTTATTCTGTGTCTGTATTTGGACACACCTGACCCATGAGGCCTTTCAGTCTTAGGACAGTGAGGGAAACAGTGACATCAGCTTCAGGAAGCCGAATAGACCTTGTTGCATTGGCAAATACAAAAACACCATAAGGATAATCACTGGCGAGTATAGTCAGAGTAGCAGATGTTCTGACACCCAGGCGACCATGTGAAACGTTAACCAGAGTAACAGTGTATCTTTTGTCCAACTCGGGGATCGCATCTTGGGCAACGCCAATGGTGAAATTCTTCGACTTCTGCCCAACACCAAAGCTGATGTTCCCAAATCTGCTGAGGAGCTCACCCTCAGACCTGGAATCAACCTCCCAGTACACTGTTACATTGGAAAGGTCCCCAAAGGAACGATCCACCTTTGAAAGAGAAAAAAAAAGAAAACGTTTCACCACAGTTGTCCGTGGGGCATCTCATGATCTAAAAATCGTGTACTTCACTGACCTGCAGGATGACAGAATCCCGTCCATCCTCAGGTTCTGTTCCATTAACAGAAACAGTTTGAGGACTGAAGTCAAACACGCCATGGGCATCATCAGAGGCAGCGATGGTGACCACGATGCGAGATGCAGCTCCCAAACTGGCTGCACAGAAAATTACAATTCCTGGTTACCAATAATTACCACTTTTGGGCTGCATTTTACAGTGTTTCTACTAAAAGAAAAGACAAATAATATTTACTGATTAATACAGAACTTTGACTGTAATGACCAATTATAAACACACATCCTTTTAAGAGTAACTTTAGACACAAAGAGTTTGACATAAATAGGTGCTAAATCAAAGTGTGTGGATAGTTAAGAACGATCCAGACTTTGAAAAATACCATGGAGCTTCAGACAGTTCAAACTTCCCTTAGCAAAAAGTAGTTTATTTAAGTGTACTGCAAGTATACTTATTTTACTCTAAAAACGAGGGAGTGTACTTGAAGTTTACTTTTTATAAACTTTATTTGATATACTTAAAAATAGCATAAAAATGTCCCAATTTAGTCCAAACAAGTATTAAATCAGTATACTTCTAGTACACTACAAGTATGGTGTGTAGTATACTTGATATACTTATACAGTATCTTAAAGTATACTTGCAAAAATAAACTTCAAATGTACTACTTTTTGTTAAGGGTTGCCTAGTTGACTCTGTGAAAGGTTATTTGCATTTCCCTTGTGAATATCTCTTACACACCCCCCCCCCAACACACACACACACACACACACACAAATTAAGGTGAGAATAATATGTATCAAAAAATTAAGACTGGGAATAAATGAATAGAGATAAGAAACTATTTCAGGAGTAAAGGAAATACTTACCATGATGGTGATAGGACGGTTGGAGGAAGTTAGAGTCACCTTCCCCACTACCAGCCTCTTCACCATGCAGAAAACGATACACTGACAGACCCCACATGAGGATCATGGGGGTGTCAGACCAGGTAAGAATCACACCAGAGGAATGGAGGTCGAAGGGCAAATAGGAAGGAGTTGGAAGGTAGTCACACATGTAGATAAGAGGAAGCAAATGGGCACCACACACACAAAACACACAAAACACACAAAACAGTGGTGCAGAGTGCAAGGTCATTTAATTGTATACTAAAACAGGAAACTCCATAGATAAAGATCTCTAGGCTCAGAGTATGGCTTAAACTTCTCACCTCCACCATCAGCATTAAAGAGCTCCACTCGAAAAATCTTTTCCAGCTCCGGGACAGGATTGTCCACAATGGTCACGTTGATGAACTTTAACCTCTCCCCTGGTAAAAACTCTAACATGCCCTCCGAGTCCTAATAGGGAAGCATTCAAAATATTATTTGTCACTACCTAATCAGGATTAGAAATAATAAAACTGGGAATGAAACATGAACCTTGTAGTCTTCTGGGCTGGATGCTGTGAAGGGTGTAGTCCTGTATCCCACCATAATTTTTCCCAAAAGGCCTTGGGCCCGGGCCACTGGTAGATGGATCTGTCCAGCCTCCTCACTGACAGTGATGTGGACTGGTTCTAATGCTGGAGAAATCAAACCATCCGGTGGATGACTTGGCTGAAACTGGAGCAGGCCTGCATGAAGATATAGTATGTGTATTAAGTGATGGGAAGCAAAATAAAATATTGTGGTATGATGGAAGAGAAAAGGCAGAGTATGAAAACAAATAAAAAAATACCCATGTTTTAGTATGCCATAGATTAAATACCACTGTACAACAGTAATGTCTTTTCATAAAGAGTACCGTAAGGATGGTCACTTGCTGTGACTGTGATCATATTAACAGAGTTATTGGGATCGATGCTTGCACCACTGGTGGGGGTGGAGCCTGGCTTCCCATCACTGGATTTTGCTGAGACCAGGGCAACCTGAAAAGACTCTGCTAGCTCTGGGACATTATCATCAAACACCAACAGATTCAGAACCTGTAAGACAGATCAGCAATCATTATGTGCCCAGTCCTTGCTACAATCTTTAGAAACAGACCATATTCAGGACATTGTTTAGGCTGGCTCTGGATAACATATCACAGTTTGTTTACCATTAATAATCTTTATCCTGAGTGAGTTTCTTTACATGCAACTTTCCATTCAAACAACCTCTAGGAGGGGCTGTTTATTAAGAAACAAAACAGATGAATGACCATAAGACTGCTGTTAAAGTTGACATCAGGAATTTACTTACAACTAAAGTTACCATGTACAGTAAACATACAGTGCACCATACGTCCTTAAAGACTGGTTTGAACACATCCTGGATAAACCAGTAGGGCTTTTTACACCTCATGTAGGACTTATGCTCACCTCAAAGCGCACTCCAGGCTTGAAAAGCACGACTCCAGTCGCATTAACAAAATCCTGACGAGCTGGGCTGTCATTTTTTAAGCTGCCTAGTTGGGTGACAGTGTAGTTTACGTAGACATAATCCAGTGATCCTCGTGTGCGCTCAATCACACAGGAGATGGTGGAGCCTTCTTCAGCAGTCTACATGCAGAAGAATTAAAACAAGTTACGTACTTTATTCTATAAACTGATGGAGAATTAATTCAACATTATTTAGATTGTGTCAGTTTACTGTAGTTTATTCTAATTACAGTAAGTGAGCCAGCCTTTATGTTGACAAAGGAGCAACAGCGTAATTGAAAACGGTACACTGAACTGTCCATATGACTGTCATAATTGTTAAATATCAAATTTAACAAAGGATGGTTCTTGTTCTGATGGAATGCAGTCTCAAGCTATGCCATCTGCTGTGCTGATAGAAACAAGGAGCAAGGTCTCCCATATCCACTGATGGAACTCCAGATCCACTTCCATAGGAATGCCCTGACTGACAGACCTCCACAGCATCACCAGCTGTTGCTTTACCTGAGACACCCTACCAGAAGCCACTCATCCAATGCAACTAAAAAGGGATAGCACGCTCACCCTGCAGCCAAGCATGCAGACTGATGAAATATGCAGCAGCACAGTGACTGACAAACCCGTGGTTTACATTACATGTGTTTCTATCTATGCATATATTTACTGTGCTGACAGAAAGGGATGACATCGATGACAATACTACAACTTTGACAATATGGATCAATATGTATTTAAAGATGGCAAAAACATGATTGTTTTACAGTAAAATACACTGAAACAAGTAAATCAACTGAAAACTACTTACTCATAGTGCCAGTAATATTCAGACGTTCTTAAATAGTCAAGATTAAGTTTTAAGCTCGTCTTCCTAAACACACATTTTCACACAACAAAGCAAAACCATTTTGGCTGTTTTTATTGATTAGGCTACAGTAAGCAGCCAAAAACAGTCACTTTCAAAGCGATCCAGTTTTTCTTTGTAGAAATTGGACAAAACTTCATCTGCCAGATCTTCAAGGGTGAGTGATCAGATGGAAGTAACTCCTCACATTAAAATATCAGACAGCTCTTATCAAACTCATTAAAAACAGTGGTTCCCAACCCTGATCCTTGAGGAACACCATACTGCATGTTTTAGTTGTTTCCCTGCTTTGAATGAATGGGTGCTTAACAGGTTTTGACAGAACTTGACGAAGTAATAAAATCACTGAATCAGGTGTGTTGGAGCAGGAAACGAATAAAACATGCAGGATGGTGTTCCTCAAGGACCATGGTTGGGAACCACTGCATTAGAGCGAACCCTGTCACCCTCTTGTCAATGACGACTGAACTAAATTCTCCACACAATCAAAAATAGGAGCCGAGAACTGAACATTGTGCCATTATTACATCCCTTCTGTCAAACACGGTTAAAGCAGCGTCAGGCTGTGAGGGACATTTTCCTGCATCACGGCTAGAAGATTGATCAGTATAGTGGACAAACATATGCATAGAAAACATAAGCTCATCCTCTTTCATGTGCAAAAGTTTACATTTCAGAGAAACCCTCAAGAACAACCTGTAAGGAATCACATGGGATGGCTTTAAGGTACTCTTTAATGATCCCGACAAGACCCAGTTCGAGTTTAGACATAAACCAAGTAAAGCATGTTTGAGAGACCTCAAAATAACTGTACACTGACAATTCACATTCAGCCTGAAGAAGCTTTAAAAATAAATGAAATAAATGTTTTCTCATCAATCGCCATGAAATTTTCCAAAATAACAAAGCAATTGTGATTTTTTGATATTGTTGAATTATTTATCATTTAGTTCTTCTTGGCAGAAATATTTAGGACTCTTCAGATTGCATGCTATACAACATGTGGAAAATGTCCTTTAATGGTTTGAAAACCGATTATCAGCCAAGCAAATACTCTGCACTTACATCAGGTATGCACGCACCGGTGAACCCAAAAAGCCCGTTGGCATTGTCACTCTTCATGATTCGTAAAACAGCAGTAGGTCTGGGAAAGGGAAGGCGAGCTCCACCCTGCACAGCTACCAGCTGCAGATAGAATACCTCCTCTCCCTCCTCCACGTCATCGTCCCGGACCTCCACCACAAAAGACTTCTGCCTCTCATCCTGCCAGTACCGCAGGTAACCTGAGATGTTCCGCAAGTCCGTTTTAGGGGGCTGAGCGTGGAGTTCATAAATCTGGCTGTGGTTAAGCTTTGTGTGGTACAGGCGGACATCCTGGAGGAGGCCAGTGAAGCGCTGTTCACCTTCAACATCTGACCCGATAAACACCGAAGCAGGTCCTGGAGCGGAAACAATTAAAAATAAAACTCCACATTATTTTCTAACATTAACAGAAACCATTCATTAGAGGTATTTGATTTTTTTTTTTAAATCACATCTAAATTTATATTGAATAATTAAACACAGCTTTTCCAGAACTTTGGATTCACTTAAGACAAACTCATAAAATAAGACTGACAGAAATGAACTGTGGAAGTAATTCTGCTGTATTGGTTTAATTCTATCACAAGAAGAATCTTGATTAAGGCCATCAGATGCCTTGGTCCAGTTCACTCTCATTACTCATTAATGCACTTACACGTCTCATGTCAATTACTTCCTGTACTTGGACATTGACAGCCAAATTCAGCCAATTCGCAACAGTCAGCAAGCAGAAAACAGTTCATCTGTGAACCGAGTATTCTACTGGAAACAATAACACGACCTAACTTCATGTTTTATCTACAGTATACATCTTCTGTGATGGGAAGTAGCAAAGAGGCATCAACATTTTTTGTCCTAGAACTTTTTTTTTGTTAAAGAAGATGCCGACTGATTCCTTTCAGCAGTAATAATGTCCAACAATACAGAGGCTTTGCAGCCACTCAAGCATTGAAAAGTCCCAGCAGTGCAGAACAATGAGGTAGCAACTGAAAGGTACATGAGTGGGGAGGTCCACATACATTTACAGTAAACATTACAACTTAGGCTTTGCTGATTGTGGACAAAATGAGAAACAGCTGAGAAATAGCTTATCAAGATAGTTTTAAGCATATGCAAAACATTTTGAAATGATGAAATTGAAACTGAAATTTTAAATTAATTGGTCATATCACCACATTTTTGTTATTTTTAATAAATGCAGAGGTCTGCTTTTGAGACAGACGTGCATGTGAGGCCAAGTAATGATCCTCAAATAAAATTGTAAAACTAATTCAAAATATTATAGGGACACATTATAGAGTTATACGAGACTTTTTTTTGCAGCTGTCGTTTATTTATTAATTTTTTTCCACGAGTCGGATCCACAACGCGACCTGTCAATCAATCCAGTAGGTGTGTGTCAGCAAACAGTTGCATGAATTACAATCATACATGGAAAAGTCTCTCTAAAATTGAGCTAGAGAAATTAAGAAATAACTATTAAATATGTTATAAAGCAGCTCACCATCAGTGATGCCTTCTCCTTTGATGCTTTTCAGTCCCCCAGGTATAGAAGTCCCATCCAAAAGAAACTCAACAATCCCGTCATCGCATGTTATGATGACATATAGCCATGTATTTTGTTCCACAAATTTCTCAGCAGTGGCCCTGGCTAACTGGGTAATATTTGAGCCTGTAGTTGTGTAGTACAGCATCACTGTAACATGTGACTGATTAATATGGACCTTCACTCCATAATACAAGCTCCCATTTCTGGTTCCTTTGGACATTATGAAGCCATCAGTGTTTATTGTGGGCACCAGCCAAGCTGAGAAGGTGAAGTTACCAATAGCAGCAGGTGAATGTTCAGGGGAGATGGTCCCATAAGCTCCTGGAAGCCCAGAAAAAAAACGAGCATCTGTGGCTGAGTGGGGTCTCCTGGCAAAAGGCCTGAGCTCAACCACATTAGGAAAAGAAGCTAGAAGCAGCAGATCATCCATGAGAGGAAGACCCTGTGGGAATTGTTCAGACAAGATCTCCCAGGAAACTCGCACATCACCAAAAGTGCCCTGCTGTCGGACAATGGTGAACGATGTGACGTCAGTCATATCATCTTTGGAGAGGACATCTTCAGCTACTTCTTGGTCCAGGTTTGTGGCAGCAATGGCAAAAACACCAAATGGGTCATCATTGAATGGGATGAGAACGGAGGCATTCAGAGATGTCTCAGCCAGTCGTCCACCACCCCCTGGGGAACCACCTGAAAGAAATGGTAAACTGGAGTTACAAAGTTTTCACAACAATAAAGCAAACCTGATAGAATTCGAAGTTAGTTTCATTTATTCACCTGAAATATTTATCAGTCTGAGGACAAAAAACTCATTAAACTCTGGAAGTTTATCAGAGATGGCCTCCAGGATGATGGGCTTGGTTTCTTGCCCCAAAGCAAAGGTGATGGAGCCTGATGTGTTTGTAAATTCCTGGCTTTCTTCAAGAGGAGTTACTGAGTCATTGGCAAACAGCTGCCAGAAGACTGTTACATTACCAAAATGGCCCTTTGCTCGTAATACACTGTAACAGAACAAAATAAAAGCATTTGGATACAAGTAAAAACTCAAAATAATAAACCTTGGAGTTTAATGATAGGAACAAACAGTTTAATTTGAATCAATTATTTTTAAACAATAGGAATATGAATTTTTAAATTATGACATTTTGTAAAAAGAAACAAATCTTACTTAAAACCATTGGTTTTTCCCTCTTCAACAGATTTTTCTACACTTTCCAAAGAGAAAATTCCATTGGCGTCATCATTGGCCTCAATCACTACTGTAGCTGTGTTTGCTCCGTACACAACAGCATCGCCTGTGAGCACAAATATATATATTACTTAGGTTAGAGCTGAACATAAAGCAACATAATATAAATCTTACAAACTGACAGATAAAACTAACATGGACTGCACGAACAATATTGGTATTGTTGTTCTCAATTTCATGCACTGGAGGGGGGTTGCCTCATCAACATAGCATACCATACCCATAGCAACAAAGTCTTTCAGTGTTGGTGCAAAAGAAGTCTAAAAACTTGCTTGAGTAGATTATTATTAAACTATCTAAGACTAAAAAAATGAGAGATGTATTTAACTGAAAATGAATAGTTACAAAAGCTTAACTTCATACTTGAAGTTGCCAGACCAGTGGCATGCTGCATCACGTTTATTTCTACTTAAGTGGGCAATGGTAAGAATGTCAAGCCTCAGTATGTGGTGGCTGTCTTCAAACATTGTGGTTATTGGTTTTAAGTCAGTCTTGGTAAGGACAATACCCTGACATAAACCAGGAACACACCAATTCATTACTCATCAGTCACTGAACAGGCAGAGGTCATTGGAGTGACACTCACAGTCTTAGAAAGTTTGATAATTGTACATTTTAGCTTGGGTGTTAACAAAAAAGTATATATATCCAGACCTCTGATGGGAAATCAGAGGTTGCTGCCAGAACTGGACCGATCTTCCATGTCAGCTGGTTTTAGTATAAGTTTTAAGTCCTGCCCCCTCCATGTAAACAAAAGGAACACTGCCCTCAATAGAACAAAAAAATGTTGATTCACTTAGCTTTTATCTTGCTGTTGTATTGTAAATATAAAATGTTCTTATACATTTAGCTGTAATTAGTTATGTTGTGCTTAAAAGCAAGATCATGTGACACAATGAGCGTGTGTATGAGAAAAGGCGGGACTCATATTCCAAAAAAGTACAACTTGCCAGATTCTATCTTTAAGATACTGCTGGCATCTACAGTACTCCCAACTTTGTAAAGTATGTATACAGTCTATTTGACAAACATTTTACTGTAGTGCATGTAAGACAATACTTTAAAAAAGAAAGATGGGATGTGGCGCTATGATAGGCAATTGTAAAAAACCTTGTTGTTCCTGTTTTTTGTCATGATCTGTGTCTTTTGTGTTATTTATTTAGTTTTCTGTGATTCTTGTATTTCTTTTACTTGTGTCTAAGCTTCTTCCAGTGTGTTCTCGCCAGTGTGTTCTTAACTCCTGCACCCCCACTCTCACCTGATTCTCATTGTCTTTCTCCAGAAAAGACATTGCCATTGTCTGCCATTAGTGTTTCTTTAAATTCAGTGTCATGTTACTTCCTTGTCCGTGCGTTACGCTGTATAAGCCATTCATGTTTGTTTCCTTCAAGTTTTCCCGATTTTTCTCTTGTGAGTATTGTTGCTGCCTCATCAGTTTTTATTTTTGTTAATAAATTAATTTCTTTATTTTATCTTTGAGTCTTTGAGTTCGGATCTGCATCTTGGGTTCACTATTTTTACCAAACATGGAAGTCTTAACATATACAACAGAGGAGAGGGTGTTTCTGTTAATACGAGATGAGCCATGATGACTAGTGTCATCTCAGTCACATTTAAGTAAAATGAAAAACGAAGCTTTCGAGGATTTTATTAATTGGAAAAAACTGTTTTCAGAATCCCAAGGGAACAGTACTGACTGAGACATGACACATTTCTAATGTAACATTCATAGAGCTGGTGACAAACTGTCAGTGCCATTAAGGTATTTAGAGGTCCTAAGTGGACCCAACAATAAAAAAGTAAAATTAATTAACGTTTTTATAAAATAAATTATGAAAATGATTATGATGAAAATAACCATCGATGGGAGAGCATTAGGAAACCTTGCCCAGAGAAAGAAAACCGGGGCACCTCCAGGCGGGGCGCGGGGGGGGGGGGGGGGGGGGTCTCGTTACCGAGCGCCTTGTGGTCGAGCTTTGGCTCCTGGGGCTTGGCCGGGTCAACCTCAAAGAAAGCTCAAGGGAGCCAGCAACATGTGGGCCCACCACCTGAGGGGAAGTTCGGCAAGATCAGGTGAGATGGATGCCAGGTGGGCCTTCCTTTAGAGGTTTTCCAGACATGTCCCACTGGTAGGATATCCCAGGGTAGACCCAGAAGTGACTGGAGGGATTGTGTACATTCTCTGGCCTGGGAACACCTCGGCGTCCCCCAGAATGAGCTGAAAAGTGTCGCCGGGGAGAGGGATGTCTGAGTTCCTCATTTGGACCTGTTGCCTCTGCGACCCAATTACGGATAAGCGGTAGAAGATGGATAGATGGATAAAATAAATGGAAAAAAATTGCAAGAGCTGCAAATTTATAAATAATGACTGTCAGATAGCCCTGCTCAGATTTTTGACTTTGAGGTTTTTGGATATTTTATTTCCTTGAGAGAATCCCAAAACCATCCATCCATCCATCCATTTTCTTTACCCGTTTATTCCTTTTTGGGTCACGGGGGTCGCTGGTGCCCATGTCCAACAATCACTGTGCGAGGGGCGGGATACACCCTGGACAGGTCGCAAGTCCATCACAGGGCCACATAGAGACAAACAAGACAAACAACCATTCACTCTCTCACTCACACCTAGGGACAATTTAGAGTTACCAATCAGCCTAACATGAATGTTTTTGGACTGTGGGAGGAAACCGGAGTACCCGGAGAAAACCCACGCATGCACGGAGAGAACATGCAAACTCCACCCAGAAAGGCCCCCGGACCGGGATTTGAACCAGGGACCTGCTCGCTGAGAGGCAGCAGCTCTACCAGTTGCGCCACCGTGCTGCCATCCCAAAACATCCCAAAACTAAATTAAATACAAATACAAGTTCAAGTTCAGAAAGCTCAACAAGTCAAGTTTGGAGTTACAGCCAATGGACGTTATTAAACTTTCTCAAAGCTCACAGCAGGTAAAGTAGAGGAACAGCTGCCTTTAGCAACACAGAAAAACAAAACAGGTAAGTATGACATCACAGAATGAATATCAGTGCCTTACTTGAGAAACCATTTAAATAAATACTGGACTTTTTAGTGCCCAACACTCAAACTCAAATTTAACTCAGCACTTTAGAAGTATGGATTTTTATTCTAGTTTTACTGAACGAGTAAATTAAACACCTTCGTTTACTTTTGTCTTGGACTCAGAGAACACACCTGCTCTAATCTCCTTCAAGGGCCCTGCATCCTCCACTTGAAGCAGTGAAATCAGCTCTCGTTGACGTAGTTAAGTGACAAAAGTCGTTAATTTGTTCTCAGAGTAGCGTCATCTGCCACTTCTCGACACAAGTGAACTTTTTCTCACAGGTGTATGCGCCAAGTATTGTGTGATTGGTCAGAATTATGTAGATGTTCGTCAATGTGGAAATGCACTCAGACTTTTAGCTGCATGACTCTTCAAACACGCTAAATTAGTCAACTCCTGGATAGAGATCATGCAGACATTGTGCATGGAGGAGTTTGTCTGCTGAAAAGTGTGGTGCTTTCTTCATGATAGATAAGTGGCCAGACGGCAGATGTGGGCACAGACTGGAAACCCTGGTGGGAAGAAACCTATGCAATGACATATACCGCCATGGGAGGGGTTTTCCAATAGCTCTGCACCCGTATCTTGTGGACTATGAAAGGTGTGTATGAAAATGAACATCCCACAACCACGTGATTGCAAGTAAACTGTTCTGCTTTGGATGGAGTATGCCAGGCCCTTCACCTTAATTCAAAAGGAATCCTACACTCACCAGTGGCATTATAGAGAATAATGTAAAATGTTTCATCCGTCTCGGGTATGTCATCATCTTCAACAGCTACAGATATGTTCTTCATCCATTCTCCCACACCATAAACCAGCAACGTGCCATTACTCAGAACAGTGAGGTCATCTGGTGATGCGTTGCCGTAAGCCACTCGATACATCACTGAAGTCACAAAGTCAGCCCGGCCTGCCCTCAGGACAGTAAAGTTGGCAACGCCTCCTTCATGAACACGCACAATGACTGGCTCTGAGGTGAGCGTGGAAGTGTGGAAAAGGGAAAGAGATGCCACAAAGGAGAGACAGGTGAGTTATTGTAGCTGTGATACTCAAAACGTACTACAGCTGATCAGGTGATCCTTGACTAATTTATTACCTGAAAAGTAAATAGGGTCATCATTCTTATTAATAGATAAAATGGCACTTAGTACGTTTCCCAGTCTTGCTCCTCCTGTTGCATTTGACAGGACGATGGTGAAATTTTCAATGTCTTCTGGAATCTAAAACAACAAAACAAGAAATAATATATAAGAAAAAAAACATAGTTAGGATCACTGAATGTATATACAAGTTCAACTTGATGTTTTACCTCATCAGGTACAGAGAACACGGTGAGGTTTTTCAAGTATTCTCCTTCTTTGAATGTAATGTTGCCACGGAGGGGGGTAACATCTCCGGACAAGGCTGGCTCCATGAACCAAGACACTGACACTTCTTCAAAGTGACCCCTGTTCCTCACTATGTGGTACACAGCTGCAGGAACAGAGAATAGATGAGGTTCAGGGAAAAACATGCACCTTTCTGTCTGATAGCTTTTCATGGTTTTATTAGTACAGTTTTGTAGTTGGTCTTGTTAACAGTAAATGTGATGTATTCAAGATAGTAGGGAATTTTTCAAGACTTTTAGTCTTACAAGTTCATAAAAACACTTAATTCACAAGAATAGAGGGAGCTCAGTTTTTCTTAACATCCATCCATCCATCCATCCATTATCTTTACCCGCTTATTCCATTTTGGGTCACGGGGGTCACTGGTGCCCATGTCCAGCAATCACTGTGTGAGGGGCGGGGTACACCCTGGACGGGTCTCCAGTCCATCACAGGGTCACATAGAGACAAACGAGACAAACAACCATTCACTCTCTCACTCACACCTAGGGACAATTTAGAGTTACCAATCAGCCTAACATGCATGTTTTTGGTCTGTGGGAGGAAACTGGAGTACCCGGAGAAAACCCACGCATGCACGGAGAGAACATGCAAACTCCACCCAGAAGGCCCCTGGACCGGGTTTTGAACCAAGGACCTGCTCGCTGAGGCAGCAGCTCTACCAGTTGCGCCACCATGCTGCTTTTCTTAACATGCACATGACAATTACTGAACAGATGGTGTTGATAGAGTTTACTTGACATAATAAAGAATCTGTATTCCATTTACCCTGATAGATTACATCCCCTTTGCTCTCATTGATGGTCACTGTTAGCCCTGACTTGATGAATTCAATTACCCCAAAGGGGTCGTCGTTTTTCCGTATAGTGATGTTAACTTCTCTATAGTTGCCGAGGCGACTGGGTGGAGTGCTGTAGCTACTGAGTACCACAGAGTACGTCTCGTCCAGCTGCAAACAGGACATTACACAAAAAGATTTCGTAAAATCAAATCAAACACAAACATGTGCATACATACTTAAAATCAAATGTATTAAGTATTTTTTTGCATTTGTATGCTACTGCTGGACTTTGATTTGTTGAGGAAAAAAGTTTACATAATTTTTCATGTTGACAAAATTTGACAACTACAAATAAGATTTAATTATTTATTTATTTCTCACGTTCTTACCTCAGGTACCCCATCAGCTATCGCGACCAGAGCCACTACCACCTCTCTCTCCCCAGGTTTAAACTCCATGATGCCCGTAGCACCGTAGAATTCAGCACTGCCTGAGGGCACTACAGCATATCGTATCAGCTGCTTTAGAAGTTGTCCCTGAGCTCTGACCACGTGCAGCTCCACAGTCTCACCTTCCTTGATTTAAAATGTACAAATATCACAAAACCAGAAAAAAGGATAATATTTCAATGGGCTTAACTTATTCAATCTTGGAAATTATAGATTAATTTTATTCAGTTTTATAATAATTTATAAAAACAAACACAAAAGACAGCTCTACAACTATGATTTTTTTTTTCTAATGGCATTTGAGATATATATTTTTTTAATAATATATTTCATGTATTTGTACAAATGTGAAAGTTTAGGGAAAAATAGCAAGAGGTTAAACATGTTTGAAAATCAAAACACAAAATCTCAGCTGTAATTATGGTAAATTAATTGCAAATCAAAAGGGATACAGCAAAGTCACATATTGCTTACATAATGCCCAACAGTCCTGTAAATGTCTGTTAAACACTGTGACCTTGATTGACTGCAGTGCAGTCTTTTTGTTACTGTGTTAGACTTTAACTCACATTTATGAACCAGGGACCTCTGGAGAACTGCGAGAACTCAAACACTCCTCCTGGGTCATCGTTCTCCATGATAACAATTCCTCTGCTGGTAAAGCCAGCTTTCAGGATCTGATTCTCAACATTACTCCTAGAACACACAATCACAAGCACACCCAGAAAAGCAGAATTAGGTACATGCACATATAAGAGAAAATGTACAGTAGAGTTTATTTAATCTATCCGTTCTTGAGCTGCTTTTAGTAAAAGCATGGAAAACTAATAAACATCAGGTTGGAATTGTAGTGACTCTCTCGTGGCAGTTTGTTGAACTTCTGCTTCAGCTGAGGGTTTTCAAACACAGCAACTTTCAGCAACAATAGTAACAATGGGTCAACTTGAATTTCTTAATGCATTCCTTGTATTATCTGATGCACATTCATAAACACCATACGCTCAACTCCTGCTGTTTAAACCACTTTTAATAACAATGCCAATCAACTGTGTGTCTGCATCTATAAACTCCACAGGGGTGTGTGTGTGTGTGTGTGTGTGTATGTGTGTATGCTGAGAAAATTGGAGCCAAGCAAGCAGCAAGCATAATATAACAGGCATTACAAAGAAACGGCGTACAAAAACGTATTGAAGCACTTCAGTCACAGCAAAGGAGCTGCACGCATAAAAACACAAACATCTTTAAAAGGCAATGCAATCAAGGCTGGTTAATTTGGAGCAACAACACATTAAGAAGGTGCTCTATTTATGCTCCCAGTGAAAAAAAAACTCTCCTTTTTATTCACTTTTTGCAGAAACCCCACTGCCTAACTCAATCCACGTCCCCCTTATCCCTGTTTCTAAACCTAGAAGTGGGCACTTCTCCAAAAAACAAGGACCTGATTCAAGTCACACAAAAGCCCCAGGTTCACTACACTCTCCACTTACCCAAAGTACAATGTAAAGTGTGCAGCCTCCACCCTGCAGTGGAGGAGTGGGATTGAGAGAAAGTCACAGTTCTCATAAGAACAGATGAAGCTCCCATCATGCCCCACAGCCCCAAACACTCAATATAAATTATTTTAAAATCACAACACAGACATCTAGATGTTATATGAAACTTATTGTGTGGGTCCGAGGCACCTCAATGACGAATAATAACAATGACATGTACACAGCTATAACTTCTACCTACCTATCTAGAGTGAGCAGTAAGGTTTCGTTAACTTCAGGGATATCGTCAGCCATGACAGTGAGATTGATGAAGGCATCACTCTGCTTGGAGAGGAAGACAATGGAGCCATTAAATGGCCTCAGGTCATTAACTGTGACATCCTCACGATTAGCTCCAGTCGGTTGAAGACTCCAGAACACCACAGCCTGACCATCTGTCCCATCCCGCCGCAGAGGGAGGCTAATCTGCACCAAAGATCAATAAAATAATACATGCTGACATACATAATGCTAAATATATAAATGCTGAACCATGTTTTAAAAGTTTCAGGAAAAAAAATAGACAATGGAAACTTGTTTATGTGGCATTGCAAAACTGATTGTACAAGCATGACTTACCATGGTTGCGTTGCTGTCCTCTGGTTCAAAAAGCACCACTGTGGTGTTACTTATGAAGCCAATTTCACCATTAGCAATGTCAGGGGTGACAGTCAACGTCAGGTTTAGAGGTCCCCCAAATCTTGGGCTGTTTGATGGAATGGCTGGGCTGATATCAACCAGCTCCAGTGTATTCAGCTGGAAACAGATGAAACAGAAAGCTAAGATAATTGAGTACTAGTATGTTCCTGTAATAATTGGTTCATTAAAGATGATTGTTTCTGTCTGAGTATTTTTGAAGTGTACCCTAATCACCTTTTTGATACGTGTGTAACTATATGGTAAAGTACTGAAGCTCACACAAATGTGTGACTTATTGTGGTTTTAAAGACTGCCAAGAAGGCTTTTCTTGTACCTTTTGCTTGCTTTAAGTGCTAGCTGATGTTTGTTTGGACAGTTGGGTAAATCCCATAGAACTATGCCAAACCTGAGTGCCAATGTCAAACCATTCACACATGCAAATGAGGCACTTAGACTTTGTATAGCACTAATTTAGTTAGAAGTGCCAACACAGACAGAATAATGCATCTTTTTTTAAATGTGCTAACAAAATGTTGCCACTGAATTGCAATGTTTCCAGGCTGTAATTACCTGTATTAAGAAGTGAGCTCCATTTTGAAGAAAGGCATCATTTCTGATGGGCAGTATGACATGGACCATCCTCTCACGGGAAAACATGACATTAACAGGTCTGCTAACGTTCAGAACCTGGTCACGGGCCAGTTCTGGGTCTATTGGACCAGCAGGAATGTAGAGGGCAGTAAGAACCATAGTCACATCACCCAGTATACCGCCATCTCGTACAAAATTAAGTGACAGGAATCTGCCATCAGGTTCACTATGAATGCTCTGCTCCTTGTCTGGGTTGAACCGAAAAAGTCCATAGACATCATCACTGTCCTGGATGTAAAACACCATCTTTGGGAAACAATAAAGCAAAATAAGACAAAGAATGGTAAAATACAAATAATGGGAAAAAATACACATAAAATACAATTTGTAAAACAAGTAGTGACAAAGGCCTATTTGCTTATGCAGTGAGTTTTAAATGGAAAGCTCTTCATGATATAAGAAGTTAATAAAAACGAAATGACAGATTTATCACACATCACATTGGAATATGTATTTGTGTTTGCTGTGTTCTTAGGTTTGCACAGTGAATTTATTCGTTCAACCTTTATTTATACAGGTTAGTCTCATTGAGCCTCGGGGACTCATTTACAAGAGAGACTTGTTTGTATGGTATGGTTTCGCTTTGATGAACTTGCTTTTTTTTTTTTTTGGGGCAAAAGAATAGGGCAGCACCGTGGCGCAACTGGCAGAGCTGCTGCCTCTCAGCGAGAAGGTCCTTGGTTCAAACCCCAGTCCAGGGGCCTTCTGGGTGGAGTTTGCATGTTCTCTCCGTGCATGTGTGGGTTTTCTCCGGGTGCTCCGGTTTCCTCCCACAGACCAAAAACATGCATGTTAGGCTGATTGGTAACTCTAAATTGTCCCTAGGTGTGAGTGAGAGAGTGAATGGTTGTTTGTCTCGTTTGTCTCTATGTGGCCCTGTGATGGACTTGCGACCCGTCCAGGGTGTACCCCGCCCCTCACACAGTGATTGCTGGACATGGGCACCAGCGACCCCCGTGACCCAAAATGGAATAAACGGGTAAAGATAATGGATGGATGGATGGATGGATGGATGGATGGGCAAAAGAATACATTTATATGCCATTGTGTTGCTGTTATTACTTCTTGTTACTAGAGTTCAAGGTTGTGACAGCATAGGACAGAAGAGACTGGATAAATAACAATTATATACAGAAGAGACAACACAGTATTGTGTTCTGAAATGGTGTCTGGCATAATGGCACACTTGCTTTTATAATGTTAGTAATTTTAACTGTCCTCTCCTGTTTTCCTTACAACTGTCACAACAAAATTGGCAATGAGGATGAGTACTTCAGTACTGAGTCCACCCTCTTTCCTTCATCAGGCTGTTGAGCCTCCTTAACTTTTTCCAATATGGTGGAAAATATTTTACAACTACAAACTTGTCATAAATGCATAAATGCATAGAAGACTAATGATTTGAGGCAACATGATGTGCAATTTTATTAGGCTGATTGATTAGACAGCTCTGCCCCCTCCTATCTCGCTGATCTGCTGCAGCCATATGTCCCACAAGGCTCTCTGAGGTCATCAGATCAGATGTTTCTATTGGTTCCAGGAACCTGTCTTAATCTCAGAGGTGACAGGGCTTTCTCTGTTGCAGGTCCAAAACTGTGGAATGACTTACCACTACATGTCAGGCAGGCTCTCTCTCTCACACTATTTTTAAGTCTCTCTTTAAAACCCACTTTTATTCTTTGGCTTTTGACACTGTGTAAATTGTTTTTAACTTGTTTGTATTCTACATTGTTAATCATTTAGTTATTATCTTCTTCCATTTGGATCTATGTATTTTTTGTTGTGTACTTTGCTTGTTTGTTTCTGCTGTACAGCACTTTGGTTGGCCTTGTTGCTGTTTTAAGTACTTTATAAATAAAGTGGTACGTTACGGTACAGTATGGTATGGTAGACTGCTTGGGTCCAGAAGGACATTGTTGGTTCTACACACTTCCAGAACAATGTGCAACATTTGATGATGGTATGGCTGCACTTGAAAGACTTTTTTTTTCCAAGTTAATGTACTGGCGTGCAGACACAAAACATAGAAGAGAAACTGCAAGCCAGTATACGCATGTTGCAGAGCTGAGAGCTTTAGCTGCACTGTGTGGTTTTAGATGGATGGAAAATGAATCTATAAGAGATCAGCTAATTTCTAAAGTTTATCTCAATGCTGTGAAGGATGATACCACTGAAGGAGGACCTCACACTGAAAAAAGCTCTACCCATGGCAGCATTTGTTAAAAAGGCTACAGTGTTCTCCTTTGTGAGCACAGTCATACCGACACCTGTACAGGACTTAGATGCCGTGCTTATTTCTGAGTGAAAAAAGGAGTACAAACAGCTCAAACATGTACTACAAAAGAGACTGTGTTGGTAGAAATAATAAAGATACAGAAAAAGCACAGCAACATTGTGTTTTGAAATAGCATCTAGATTAACGGCACACTTGCAGAAATAGTTTGTAAGTTTGTCATCATCTCCTATTTTATTACAACCACCACAACAGCACTCCCTGTTTTTGAATGGCTAACACTGATTTTTATTTAAAGAAGGAAACACGAGAGGTGATGAACTGAGCAAGGAAAGAAAAGTTTAGTCTAAAAGCAGTAAAAAACAGAGCTGTGAGGAGCTATCTTTAGAAACACTACCTCTCTAATTAACTCTGCTGTAACTCCAAGCATAGTTTCCATAAGTGTTAAAATGTGGCACAGTCATTCATTTCCCTGGAAACTACGTTTGTCACGTGGCTGTCTACAATCAAAACAGCTTATATGAAGCGCACTTGTAAATTTGTGTTAAGGTTTAACACAATTAGCTGTATAATTATCAGTTATTTGTTGAAAAATCTCTACAAAGACAAACTGATTTGGTCCGATGGCAAACACACACTTACAACCCAGAGATTTGATGTGCGCCTGTATTTTGCCTTGAAAACAAACAAGGCTCAGATATGCACACTTTCACACATAACCCAGAGGCTTGGTCAGAGATGGAAGTGATAAAAGCCTGTCATCACTTCACCCAGCTTAAAACAAGAAAGCACTCAGTCCTCACACACCAAGTGCGCCTGCTGTTTCCTCTTTGTTTTGATTTAGCCACATTAAAGAAGCACCCACAGAGCAAAGTTGTGCATCGTGGGGTCAACTTTTGCAGAATGTGCCAAGTTTGCACATACAGCTTATATTAGGTCTGACACAAACTCACACACATGCTTAACACATGTCACTAAAGGGTGTGTTCCCTAACAAGTGCAGCCATTTTTCTTCTTATAAACTCAAAAAACACTGAGAACATAATTTCTTAACTAACCTGCATAGGTTCGTTGACCTCTGCGTTTCCAGTTACGGTGTTGGGCAGCAGTTTAAAAACAAAGGCCTCTGCTTCTTCCGGTTTATCATCGGCCACAATGTTTATTGAAATCACAGCAGTCACCTGACCAGCAGCAAATTTTACTATTCCAGCCTGAGGTGTTAAGTCATCCGACACTGGAGAGGGATCACTGGAGTTTCTGCTGATAGACCAGTTGGTGGACACGGCACCGTAGCTTCCTCCATTTCTTACAATAACGATGCCATCAAACCTGGAGGGGCAATAATCAAAAACGTAAATAATTTCTCTTTTCTTTTTGATGCATTTGATATTACAATTTGTAATGCATGTATAATTAGTCTACCTCTTTGTCACATCTTCGTTGATGCTGATTGGCTGAATAAGAGCGCTGCTGCTAATGGACAGGACTCCATAAGGCTTATCATTGGGCTCAATAGTTACCAGCACTGCGCTGGGTGATACCAACACAGCATCTCCTCTGATCGTCTCCTCCAAGAGGACTACATGAAAGGATTCTGCAATTTCTGGTATAACATCATCAGTGATGTTAAAGAGAAGTCTGGCTTTGTAGACAAATGGAGGGAATGTGATGCTTCTGACAGGCTGCATGTCTACAAAATCCACAGACGGAGTTGCGCTGCCCAGTCCTTCACCACTCACTACAGTGTAATCCACAGACACCTAAAGAGTACAAAGTCCACATGATCCATTTAAGTTTCTGCATCAGACATGTTGCTTGGGTTAAGTTGAACATAATGAATGTGGAAAGAAAAAGGCATACCTGAGTGTCAAGAGAACCAATGAGTGGCCCATCCTCTGTCATCTGGCCCCGGGTCAGGTTGAGTGCAATGACCCCCACAGACTCTGACACAGCCATGACTGCAAGGGAAAACCGCAGAGGGCTGTCATTTGGACGGATCCGCAGTTGGACACTGCTGCGATTGGGGCTGAGAAGGGCTCCACCAGCCACACCAGTAAGCTTGACTGAAAACACTTCATCATTCTCCGGGATCTGGTTCGCAGAAAAACAATAAGATAAGAAAATCTACCTGACCTGATATATTTCTCTGTCAAATTCAGTTTTATGAATCCAAAAGCTTATGTCCAAAATTACAAAGCTAGCATGTGTATTCTAATCAATGAAGCTTAAGCACTGTTGAGGTCAGGCCAGCTGAATTTTGACCTTTAATGATAATCAATTTTAAAGTCAAGGCATAATATTACACATTACATCATTTTAACTCTATACAGTCACATGACCATCCAAAAAATGTTTTAAGACATTAAAGTACAGATATAAACAAACCTGAGAAGTTAAAACAGAACGTGAGCCATTCTATTTGTTACCTGGTCATCTTTAATGAGGATGCTGACGTTCACTGCAGCCTGACCTACAGGGATAGTGATGTTCCCTCTATCTGGACTGAGATCATCAGTAGCAGGATTTGGACCATCAGAAATCTGGAGGAATGGGAATAGAAGGAACTTTGGTACACTTTCATGCTGAAAGTGGACTTTTAGTTGTGACAAAATGTGCTACATTTTCTCTTCACCTCAAAGTTCACAGTCACGGTCCCATAGGTTCCTTTTTCTCTGACTATGGTTAAAGGCACATAAAGATTCCTTCCTCTCGGTTCATCAACAACTATCTCCTCAGTCTGACAAGAAGACAAAAATACTCCAATCAGTTCAATCTAAACAATTTTCTATATATTTTCTCTATATGCAGTACACAAAGTGAATAGACACTATAAGTGTAGGGTTTCTTACTGAGTTGAAGGCAATGATTCCAAAGGCGTTGTCATTGGACAGGATGGTAATTGTTGCCCTGTTCGGTGCTCCCAGTACCACCCCATTAGAGGAACTCTGGGAAGAAGTTCACAGTATTTACATTTATGCCCTTAATCCTTCCTCTCCAAGACTTAATGCTGACATTCCTGCTCATATGAAAGGCGAGTGTGTCTGTTTTGTCTACTGTCTACATTTCATTCTAGTGAACACTCTGAATAGCCCTGATGAGAGGGCACAAAGACAGGAAGTTATGGTTTTTGGTTCACTGCTCTGTCAGGTTATCTCTCCATAGGGCATCTCTTCAGAAATTGTGCTTTGCTCCATCATTTGGCACTAAAACCCACCAAACTTAGAAATTAGTTGTACCTTAATTCACACGGTGATGTCATTAGGCCTATAGTGTGATTTTAGGTATGTCTTACTTAATGTTTTTGTTTAAAAACATAAATAGACATTTTAACTGATGGAAGTTGACCAGGTTTTAACAAGCAAGCTTAAAGTGGTTTTGTTAACATCTTTTGGACAATCTTGATTTGGTGTCTCCAGCGGCTGAGTTTTTTAACTTGCATATGTTTAAACAAAAACTTCCCAAATTCTCTTGAAATCTACAAATATCCTGTCAAACGATAAACAGTAAACATACAGTCATACACGTCAGTCTTGTGAGATAAACAGAAACATTACATAAATTGGTCAAAACGAATATTCTCAGCCAAACCACAGGAGTTTGTATATGAATGTTAAGGCATGAGCTGAAGAAAATAACTATTGAGAACATATTTGGACTTCTTATCCAACTCATCGTTACAATCAAACTGATTTTTAACCATATTTTTTTTATGTTGTAACAGAGATTTTCTTCTGATGCTGAAGCCTTGTCATGTCAACTCAAAGACACAAAATCCACATGTTCTGTCAAAGTCAAGTCACTGACTGAGCCATTCATATACACACATTACGCTGCCCAGATACATACATTTATCATAACAGAAAAACACAAATGAGCTTACTAAAGGTCAGCTGTATATCACAATCTATTACTGTAACTGTAACTTTTATATTTTAATGCACCTGTTAAGATTTACCGCAATGAAGAATATATTTTTTGCAAGTAAAACAAATTAAGAACAATATTTTTTTATTGTAACATATTTTCCTGCCAGAAATGGTGCAGGAAACCAGAGCAACCCCTTTATTTCTCACGTCTCGCTTCATCTCTGACATGTTTTGGAGTGCACATCCATCCTTTGGACAGCCTTTTGGTAAACTGATAGGTCAACATTCAGCTTGAGCTTTGTCTCTGCTGTAGTGTCAACATAGGCTAAGAGGTATTTCACTTTGGTAGCAGGCTGAATACAAGCTTTTGCTGCTGGATTTTAACCAGATGTTATTGTGTCATCAAATTTAAAACAACTGGGAATGTGTCTTTTGTTGCTGTAGTAAACATAGTAGTACATAGCTCACATATAGTGCTTATAGTGGACAACAGTGATGTATAATAACCTTTATCTTGGGTTTTTTACTGAGGGGGAGACAACATAACAAGCCCCCCCCCCCCCCCCCCAACATACACACACACCAATCTCATCAATCAAACCTGACAGCTAAACTAAAGGCTTAACGAAACCATGGAGATTGTCTCTCAGTGTGAGGCATCCTGTGCCGTGATAGTAATTTGAGTTTACAGCATAAACTAACTGAAAACGCTTTCAAAACATTAAATTGTTCAAATCCATGCCATTTAGTGCATTTCAGAAAAGTAACTTAATTACTTCAGAGTCCATGCTCAATAACCCAGGTATAAAATCCAACAATGTTCAGTCAGGTCATCTGGATGGTTTATTTTTTGTGCTGCAACGTTTTGTCCTTCATCCATCATACTTCTTCAATCTGATGAGCCACCAAACAAAACAGATTCTCCATCAACAGCATATTCCAAAGTGGAAAAAAAAGTTTGCTGGCACTAAAATGGCCTCTGGGGCACGCCTTCTACTCCGGAGCCTGCCCTCTCCCTCTTCAACCCCTCTGAGACAGTCATGTCAAAGTGGTTCAAAACACCAAAATTCATGCTCAGTAATCCAGGTATAAAATCCAACAAAGGGTGGGCCCCGGAGGAGAAGGCGTACCCCAGAGGCCATTTTAGCGCCAGTAAACTGTTTTTTCCCACTTTGGAGTATGCTGTTAGTGGAGAATTGGTTTTGTATGGTGGTTCCTCAGATTGAAGAAGTCTGTTGGATGATGGACAAAAAGTCTCAGCACAAAAATAAACTGTCCAGATGACCTGACTGAACATTGTTGGGTTAACTTAATTACCGTATATGCTTAAAAAATAATAGTTTCTCCGACTTATTTTATCATACAAAAGGAAAATCTTTAAGTCAAAACCTAGCATTGTTTTGAGAAATGCATGTCACCCAATACCTTTCAAATCAACCTTTTGGCCCACATTATCTCGTGTTTAAAAGGGAGTTGTAGGCACACTCCCTGAGTTATAGCCATTTTTGTGTTAGCCATATTGAAGTGGGTTGGCTCCAAAAGTTAATCTGTTGTAGATGTACATCCAGTGATTATTTCCTGAATTTCATTAGAAATTTTGAGATAGTTTGCTTGGAGTAGAGCTGTTATTTCTAACCCAGGCCCCAAGCCCGGCCCCAAGCCCGGCCCCAAGCCCGGCCCCAAGCC